TAGAAAAAGAAACATGATCTGATGAGAAAATGGCAACAAAGAAAACATTACTTACTTTTTCTTACGAGACAATTTAAATTCTGTTGGGGAAAGAAAGAAGAGTATTACTTTCAGAATAAAAATGACAGTAGYTTGCTTCTGCTTGGTATTGGAAGAGGGGCAGGAAAAACAATTTGGTGAGGCACACCAATTGGAAGAATTAACCACAATGGAAACACTGGACTGAGCTGTAAATCAAAAAACCAAGATCACGTGGCATGAAACCTGTGCACAACTGAACTTCTTATGTGGCATCAGTATCACAGAATCAACTGGACCTCTGAGATCATCTGGTCCAACTCACGACCAAACACCACTGTGTCAGCTGAATGCCCATTCAGTTTTTCCTCCAACACCTCCAAGGACAGTGACTCCACCAGCTCCCTGGACAATGTCCATTTCAAGGTCCAATCACCCTTTCTGTGAAGAAATTCTTCCTAATGTCCAAMCTAGACCTCCTCTGGTGCAGCTTACGGCTATGTCCTCTTGTCCTGTCAMTGTTGCCTGGGTAAGAGCCCAATGCCTCACCTGGCTACAACCTTCTTTCAGGGAGCTCTAGAGAGTGATAAGGTCACCTCTGAGCTTCAGCCCATCTGCCTGGGAGCACACTCAAGGCTATTTTATTTTATAACAATAGATTTGAGAAGCAACCCATTATGAAAAAAAAAAGTCATCAGAATTAGGCACTTTCATATTAAGAATAAAGATCTCCTGATTATAAAGAAGCAGTTAGACTCTGCCTGGCTTCTCCAAGTTATGTTTTTGTTTCTACTGGAAGATCCCATGGTCACCAGGAAGAAAAATGTCATCTTGCTTGGGTAACATGACGCAAAATCCCAGAGAGAAGGAAGCCTGAAATTGCCACTGACAYAGTAAATCAAGATGAGGGCTAGGTTTCCTCTCACTCATTTCTGATGCCCTGATATATAAAGGTAGATATTATTCTCATTGCATTGCCATCATGTAATTCATTTCAGTGGAGGAGGGAAGGCAGTTGGGTTTTTAAGTGCTCTACACTTAAAAAGAGCTCTTTAAGTGCTCTTACTTTCTAAGGTCAACTTCAAGTGTATTTGGGACTTAGCTTCCAAGGGTATGTTTACAATTTTTGGGATAGGTGCTTGAAAAAGCCAACTGTGCCCTTTTGGTAGTGAACACACATGGCACAAAAAGTTAAACTTTCACACGCACTGAGCKGGCATTAGACAGCAATCACTGCCAGAGGCACAGCCCTAAACCTCCCTCCCCTTAAGCCCAGYTCTGCAGCCTGACCTGAGCTGGCACCAGGCAGGCAGCTGGATACAGCCTGAAAGCACCTCAAGGGAAGGAAGGTCCAGAATCTGTGAACCAGACCCTCTGCCTTTCTGCTCYTGCTAGCATGGGAGAGGCTGGAAACAGAGCACCAGCTCTGAGAAAGGTGGGCATTGCTTTTCATAGCTGTTAGTAACAGAAGTACATTCTGCCTTTAGAGCAGTCCTAGCAAAGGCCAAACATCCCCAATTAATAAGCTTTCTGTTTTTTAGAGAAAATACATAGTAGAAGCATTTGGTGAAATCTAATATCATACAAGCTGTGATGAGCAACCAATTTCAAACATAAGCAGAGTTCTACTGACTATGAAAAAATACTTCTGAGATTAATGCTCACATCTCAGCTCGTGTATCCATGTTCCTGCAAACCTGGAGCAAAAGCAGGAAGATTTGGCATTAAGCTCCTCATGACCTGAAAATCTCTTCCAGGCTTTTGCTACAGAAGTCACAACAATACACACAGGTATAAATCCTTCCTAAGAAACATATCCACATTCCAATTACTGTACCACAAAKGCACTCAGGATGGAGGTATATTGAAAAAGATTCAGTGTAACACCCAAGTTGTGTAACATTAACCAACTTCATGACTGTTCAGGAAACATTTTAATCAGCTCAAACAATGGAATCTGCCTTATGGGCTAYCCTGAACTTCTAAGCACACACAAATCTATGCGACACTTTGCCTGAGAACTGAACTTTGCTGAAGAATGGTTTACCCACCAGCAAGCTAGCCATGTTCTATTTTTCAAAATGAAATAATCTTTGGTGCTCTGTTAGGACTAAGGCAACACCCCACAGTCAGAACAGATATTTTGTAATATAAATACCAGTTTAGTCTGAACTGCACATTCACAGTTATACAGCACCTTAACTGCAGACAAATGTACAGATAAATCYTCCACTGAGTATTTAGATCCTGTTGGACTTGAGAAAAACTGRTTACAGATATCGTTAACAGAAATGTTATTGCAACTTGGTACCTGCCAGAGCAGCTTTCCTTCCTCCCCCCACCCCACTGCRTGACACTCCCATGTAGCACCTGCAACCTAAATCCTTCATTAATGGAAAAAAAAATAAATGGAAAGCAAGGAAGCAAATGCTGATTAAACCAAACCCTAACTAGGTAACTACAATCACTGAAAAAGAAAAATTGTAAATACCAGCATGGAAGAACTGACTAAGCTATAAAAGAAAATTACTCCTAACACTTCAAACACTTTATCAGAMTTTTTAAGATAATTTATGTGGCCTGAAAAAACCTCTTATAGAAAAAGGTGCAGTAGTTTTGTCTGGGATGGAGATAACTTTCTTCACACCAGCTGCTATGGTGCTTTCCACTGAGGGCAAAAAGGGAGCAGCTGTGTGAGGCCAAGCTGCTCTGGGATGAACCTCCAAAATGCAACAAAAATAACTGGCTACTAACTGTGGGGTTTTTTTCCCTAACTTAATGATTTAATGATTTTTGTTAAAGCCTATCATTTAATATTTAGTCATTTTGTCCTTGTTCTGTTGCAGTTATCACTAATTATTGTAAATGGCATCACAATAAAGCCCTTATAAAAATGCAAAGCATTATAAGTCTGAAGAGCAGCAATATCAACCAGTATTTGAGTGCTGGTGTTCTGCTTCCTAGCAGATAAGACATGGTTCAGTGGGGAAAACGGCCTTTCCTTTTTTGTTTAATGATCAATATGAATATTGATCCAGCACAGCATACAAATTGATTCTCTCTTTCTCTAGGTCTGTTATTCCAGGGGAAGTGTTTGCAAGGATGTTCCCAACTTTGATGAGGCTGTGCCCTTTCTGACTTTCATTAAGAACGTCAGAGCTTAATGAGGAGCCATCTGTCTGTTGATGAGGATTCAGAACTGACACTTTGTAATTAAAACCTTCCTTATCTTTTCATCACTGGGTTTCTATGGGGAAAAACAACAGCATTTTATCTCGTGTACCACCATTCTCCAACCCCACTCAGGGTTTTCAAGGGACTACCTACACGTGTTTTTCCTGCCCTGCACTAACTAACCTGTTTACCTGCTCTGCCAGCAACATTTTTAYGTGTAGCTGACTGCACTGTTTTAAGCTGCTGTCAGTCAGTCAAGCGGTTAGCAGGTTTACCACACAAAGAGAGCAAGGGTTCTCCTACCACGAGGTAGCTTGCACCGATTAGCCCCCTGGTCCACTCCCTTCCCAGWCCCCAAAGCACCACAAGGATGACCCAAGAGCTGAAAATGCCCAGAACAACTCATCCACTCAGGAAATCCTCAGGAAGCAAAGATAAGTGAAGATAAAGCTGCACTGCWGGCAGAGATTGAACAGGCTCAAAGGATATCTAGAAAGGACTYGCAATGAAAACCCTAATTTCCTTTTTGTAGAGTGCCCAGGGAACTGGTCWGGGCTGCAGCTGAGGGCACACTTTTATAACAAAAATGGTAACTCCGGACAATGACATTCAAAAGCCAGGAAGCAATTAGAGCAAAAGACCAGTYGGGTTTGCAGCAAAGTAAGCAAACTACTGTCAGATTTGCACTGGCTACCTCCTCAGCACCTGAGGGAATACTTGTTGGTTTTCCCCTGCAAAGGTCCAACCCAAAACCATCTGATGCACTGGCTCACACACAAAGCYCTGGACAGGAGAAGTATTTAACCTAGTTTCCCTACTTGAGTGAGCTGGTTTTGGCTGGGATAGTGTTAATTTTCTTCACAGTGGCTGGTTAGGGRTTATGTTTTGGATTTGTGCTGGAAACAGTGTTGATAATAGAGAGATGCTTTTGTTTCTGCTGAGCAGGGCTTGTACAGGTCTTTTCTGCTTCTGTAATTGCCCTACCAGCCAGGAGGCTGCGGGGCAGGAGTGGACACAGCTGGGATTGCTGACCCCAGCTAACCCCAAGRATATTCCATACTGTATGGCATCCMGCTCAGCAATAAAGCTGRGGAAAGAAAGATGAAGAGGGGGCTGTTCAGAGTGATGGTGTTTGCCTTCATGAGTCACTGTTATGCATGATGGATCCCTGCTGCCCTGGAGACAGCTGAACACCTGCCTGCCCATGGGAAGTGGTAAAAAACAGCTCCTTGCTTTCCTTTGCTTGCATGCGTGGCTTTTGCTTTACTTATTAAACTGTCTTTATCTCAATTCACCCTTTTTTTTTTACTTTCACCTTTCTGATTCTGTTCCCCCATCCCAGCAGTGGGGGAGTAAGTGAGTRAGTGGCTATTGGGGCTTACCTGCTGGCTGGGCTTAAACCAGGCCCAACAAGCAAAGCTACAAACATGGGAGGCATAAATATGAGAAGCAGTTGATTGTGAGGKGATGCTGAAACTATTATCAGGACAGGCACAGTCAACTCTTCATGTTTACTTGCTGTTTTTTCACAGAAAGCAACTGTTTCTTYGTAAATGATTTTTGTTTTGCTTTTGATGTAAAAAAAGAACAGACCATATGCCATGGAGAATTGTATGAATCTGAATGAAAAAACCTGGGAAACTAATTACAGCACCATCCCATAACAATTCAATTAAAGTAATGGGAGGCAAAGATTTCCCAGCAGGATGCTGTGGTAACTAGAAAGAAACTACTATGAGCTGGGCAAGTGTCCAGTTTTCCTTTAAAGAGTGGCTGCTGAATAGGAAGGGCTCCAGCTTTCCAAAATCTGCCTTTCACCTTTGAACCATTCTATGTATCTTCTGAGGCTTGAATGATTTGAAGTTTACTGTAGTTTCCCTTTCCCAATTCCTTACTAAAAAGAAGCACAGATCAACACAAGAACACATTACAGGAATAAGGGCTGAAAGATGATGTGTTTAAGGCTGGTAGGAAATAAGCATATTTTAGAAAATTGCTTTAATTTTTGTTAAGCATTTTTCTCTACGGTTTCTAACTTTTTGTCTTGTCCTCATATAAATTCTCAGCAAAATCAAATCCAAATTCAAAAGTTAAAGTTTCTTAGTAAAAATCAGTTTTAATGTTGCCTTTATCATATTTTTATAGTTTTGATCAGTAACCCTTTTCATGCTGAAGTTTGGTAGTTTTGATCATTAATCCTTTTCATGTCAAGGACTCCAAAAACATTTTAACAGCAYTCAGTGTGACCATGATTTATTTTAACATCCTACACAGCAATAAGATGCCACAGAGGGGAATGAGAGAAGTTAGTCACCAGCAAAGGCAAAATGAACACATTTGCAAAGGAGACCAGGAAAAAGGTCTTCCTCACATGTACCACCATGGCTCATCTTCAAGACAGATGTCACATCAACTCCTCTCCAGAGACTTCRAAGCTCAATCAGGCTGGCAGGACAGATTTCAGAGACCAAGCTATGTACAGCTATCCAGCCCCTCAAAGATAGCAGGGTTATAAACACTGCCTTCCTCCAGGACACCCAGACATACCATGTCTCAAAACATTTACRACACAATGACTGAACGCAGTGATTGAACACTTGATGGTGAAAAAACCCACATGGTTATTTAGGCTGTGGGATGTTATTCCCCTGCACATAGGAAAAAAAGCCCCTGCAGCTGACATATGCAAATAATAGTTACTTGTAGGAACTGGATTTGCAGCTGCGCTATTCAGCCCTACAGCTGAGCAGGTCTGATGGAGCAGTGGTGAATAAGGCCCATTAAGTGCATTTGTTGGTATTTTAACAAGATGAGCAGCAAGCATTTAATTTTACTTTCAGGTGTCTACTGATACCATAATGACACWTCCCCTCCACCACTTCATCTCCCAAACAGCCTCTGCCACAAGAGGGTTTTGTGGAAGAAACCACCGTTGCTCACCCTGATTTGCTTTGARGCTCAGCAACAGCAGCCCGAGCACGGTGGGTTAGACAGAGGAAGTGGGTCTCACCCACCCTGCTCAGCAGCAGCTTTGCTTTTGAACCACACCACAGTCACACGTTGGGAGGGTTACTGAATCATCCTCTGAAAACACTGCAACCCACAGAAAGGAAAGGGGGAACCGTTTTCAACTGTCACAACTTCAGTTGATGGTACTTTTCCCTGCATGTGTCAGCAGCTTCACAACTGCTTCTGAAGAGGCTGCTCCCAGGCTTAAGCCAACTCCTTTCTATTGCACTTTGGAAATTGGCTTTTTGATAGAAAACGCCAAAACAGCAGCCTTGCACACTCACTGCTCTGTGTGCACACCAGAGTGTGGGGCAACACAGCTCCTCTGTAAAAGCTGGTGATGTTCTGGTGAAAGCCTCATCCAGTTACTGTGGTCACATTTCCTAAAAAAAGGAGGTACAGACAGCAAGACGAAGTCAGAGCCCAAGCATCCAAGGATGCACAGAATCTCTTTAATATATTACTGTCAATCTCTGTGACTAAYGATGTTTGGGATATCATGGTTAAATGAGATGCCTAAGCAATATTGTATTTTTTCCTATGCCAATGCTTTACATTTTGTAACTCTATAATGTCCAGCCTAAAATAATTTGCAGAACTGGTCTGTTTTCTTGGGGTCTCTATAAAAAGAGAGAAGGCAGCAGAGCAGAGGTGAGGTAGAACAGGGGTAATGATATAGTCAAATATTAGGAGAGGTGTCAGACTAGACAAAAGATMGGAAATATGTACAGGAAAAGATTATAGAAGCTTTTATCCCAAATGACATATTTTGTTTYACATTTGTCTATAGCTATACCTATCTGCTTTTGACAGACTGCTGAAAGTTCACCACAGCATATAAAGCTGTCCAGCTTAGAAGACAGTTACCCATTTTCCTCTGTCACTGCTATAGTTAAAAGAATTAAAAAGCAAAAGCAGATTGCTTCTCCCTTCTACACACTCTTTACAYGTGTCTGCGACAAAAAAAGACCAAAACCTGCAAAACGAAAAAGCAACCGACACAACAAATCCAAAATAATCCTCAAAAATCACCAGAGAGAGCGAGCAGCTAGGAGCTCATACTCTGGGCTGCCAAAGTTCGCCCAGGTTGGTTGGTTCACGTTTTACAGAGATACCACATTTGCAGCTCCTGTCTGGCCGGTTTCACAGGGAGAAAAGACAGCCTAACAAAATCTGCCTGTTAAAAATCCTCAAGTACATGTAATGTTCATTTCCCTGCGCCCTCCTAAAAAAAAACATCGATTGCAAGGAACTTTTAGGACATTGAGCAACGTCAGCTCTTAGCAAAGACTCACATCCTGCTCAGGGACTGCGGGCACTTCAGCACGACTCAGCCGCGGCCGCTCGGAGGTGCCGCTGACAGGCGCTTCCCGCARCCCGCCGAGGCCAACCCAGCGTCTCCCCGTTCCCGGGCTCCATGAGGGACACAGCGCTCCCCGGGACAGGGACAGCGACACCGCCCGGGCCCCGCAGCGGGGCAGCCGCTCCCCCATCCCAACCTYGGGCTCCCCGCGCCCGCCCGGGCCCGGCGCTCCGGGCGCCGCTTACCGGCTGCGAGCAGCTGAAGGGCGGCGCGGCGTCCAGCAGCAGCCGCAGGGCCGCGGTGGCGGGCGGCCGAGGCAGCAGAAGGAGCAGCAGAAGGAGCAGCAGGAACAGCGGCAGCCGCGGCCTCCTGCCCGCCATCGCGCCCGCACCGCCGCTCGGCGCTTCCGGGCTCGGGCCGGGCGGGGCGGCGCCGACCGCACCTGAGGAGGGGCCGGGGCGGCGCGGGGCGGGGCGGGGCTCGCCCGCCGTGTGGGGCCCGCCCGAGAGGGGCTCAGCCTGGCGGCTCCTCATGGGAGCCCCGAACAGCTCCTCCCCGCCGGGACAGTGCCGTCCGTGGGCGCAGGTTGGGGTTAAAGAGCCAAACGTGCTTCTACCTGCGGGTTGTCTTCCTGTTCGCGAGTCAGCGGRAGGGTCCCCGAGGTCTGCGTGCTGGTCACAGGATCGCCAGGGTTGGAAGGGACGTGTGGAGATCATCCCGTCCAAACGCCCCGCCAAGGCAGGGTCACCCGGATCGGGTAACACAGGAACGCGTCCAGGTGGGTTTGGAATGTCTCCAGAGAGGGACACTCCACGGCCYCCCTGGGCAGCTCTTCCAGTGCTCTGCCCCCCTGAAAGTAAAGAAGTTCTTCCTTGTGTTGAGGTGGAACTCCCAGTGCATGCCTCTGGCTTCGAGTAAATGCCGCGAGCATTAAAAACTGAACAAAAAGCATTGTAAGTGTATGCTCTGCTTTTCTAGTTGTGGGGATGTTCTAAATGCATCCATTTCACAGGGGGCTGTGCAAGCCTGTCACTTGTTGCTGATGTTCACCCCATTTCAGCTGTCTCACAGGTTTCACTCCAGGTTTCGCACTGTTCACACTGCAGCACGCCCACAGCCACTTTCATCTGTTCTTTGCCGTGGTTTTCACCTTATGGTCTCACCCAGAGCTGTAACTCAGCTAAGTTTCCAGCTCAGGGAGTTTTTCAGCAAAGCTGGACCCTTTGCTGGGCTTTGACCAGCAGCCATGAGCTGTTTTTGTGGTGAGTGTGTGTGGTTTTGTGGTGGCAAATGTCTAACTGGTGGCCAGTCTGAGCCTGCAGATAAAGAGATTTCTGTTGGCGAWCCCTCTGCCATTCCTTCTGCCCTGCACTGATGACATCCACAGGTTTTCATCAGCTTATGGGTTTTAGCATTTTGTGCCCCCATTAATTGAAAGTAGCAGCAAAGCCTACAGTTCGGACAACTGTGTGCAAATCAGAGAAAAATATTTATATATACATGTGTCTGGACAAGACTCATTCTTTTTTTTTAGGCATTATTTTACTCCACCTTACACCGATGTACTTCGGCTGAGCACACTGTGATTTATAATGCTGCGACAGAAATGTGGTGCTCAGCTGACATTGCAGTGTAATTTCTTGATAACCGTGGTAGAACAAATTTRTTCAATCGACAAGTAAATGTGTGTTATCATCCCCTTAGCTTCATGGCTTATATATATACTAATTACACCATATTTAAGCTGCGGGCACTCATTTTCTATTGCATGTGCCTGGTAAAAAGGAATCCAGTAGAGAAAATGTTAAGTGTGTGGTTACRCGTGAGTCACACGTTGGTGGCTGTCACTGTGGTGACAACAGTACAGAGAGCAGTTGCATTTCCTCAGTTACTGTTTAACTGAGGGCAGGCTGTGGCTGTCAAGACTCTTCTGAAGCCCCTTAAACAGAGACAAGAGCCTGTGAACAGCAGGGAAATAGGGGCTGCACGAAGCTGTCTTATTTCTCACCTACTGCTGGGAGAAGGGAGCAGTGTGAAAAGGAGTTTTCATACAATTTACAATATTGAACAAATCTGGACATTGTTTAGAAATTTATTAGCAATTTTAAAATAACATCATTCCTTAGATAAAAATGCAATCTTACAGGAATATACATTTGTCCCACACAGAGATGACCCTATAGCTCACTGGTGGGCCATTCGCTCTAACTTTCCTCTGTTGATTTTAAAACGTGCGAGAGGGCAAGACGGACTCTGGCACTGATGACAGGCTTACATGACGGTTACAAACTGTACAGCAGTATTTACAAAAGCATTTCTGTGGGTTCATGAAAACTAGATATGAAAGTGTGGAAGGAGGTAAAGAATTGAGACAGGGAAGGGCCTGGGTGGAGGTGCAAGGGAGGGCTGGGAAGGTGGGCAGGGAGTATAGGGAAGAGTGGGAGAGGAGGTTTATATCTGGACTGATTTATACTTGAGAGAGGTCATTTTACAGCTCTGGGCAATTCAAATGAAGGCAAAACACTTATATTTATCAACATTTATAGCTGATGATCAGAGCAGGAAATGGTGCTCCAGGGCCTGAACTTAAGAGGTGCTGAGGAACCCCATCTTCCCTGAAGTCACTGGGAAACACCAGTACGCAGTGCCTTGCCGGGCCAGACCCAAACCATGCACAGGCAGTACCCCCAGACCTTAAACCCTTTTGATCCTGCAGTGCTCAGTCATTGGTGCTRTTGTGAATTCAGACTGAGTGAGAGATCAGCTCCTAAATTACACTTTTGCTCCTGAAGCTGGACTGGATTCCAACCCCTTCTTGCCAGAATTCACCCAAAGTGACTCATCCCTTGCTCTATCAAGCGGCAACTGTTTGGAGGGAGATGTCATCATTCGGAATTGATTTTTAAGGCAGTTTCATAAGTATCTCCCCTTTTTTTTTTTTGTGTGTGTGATGCAGCAATGTTTTTCAGAGATATTTACAATCTCACTCCTCCAAAATCTTCCCACATTCAAACTGTCAAGACTAAATAAGCTTGAAACAATCATTTCTATGAGCAGTCATAAAATTGATAATGTTTAGATAGTATTGGCTGCCAGTCTACCTAGGTGCTTGAGATGGGAGCAGGCTKACTTAGGATGCTTAAAATACTGAAAGCATTTCAGCCTAATTGGGAAAGAGAGAACAGAAAAAAAAAAAAAACCCCAGGTATTTAATCACCTGAATGATGAGGCTAGCAAACAATGTCTCAGTTTCTGGGTCTGTCTCGAATAGGAAAAAGCTTTGGAAAGGGGCTGTTTGAACATTGGCAGAAAAATCTGTGGTTGAATGGAGTGACGCCTGCTGTTCCCTGGGCCTGTCCCTGCTCCACTGGGCCTGGGATGCAGCCACCAACCCCGGCCTAAGGTGAGGACTGGACAGAGCGCTGCCAACTTCAGGCTGCAGGAGTGGAGGCAGAGTAGGAACATGGGGCAGGAAAACAACAGTGTGGGAGTGTAGAGACAAGCTCCTGATCCTGCCTAACTAAGCCCTTGGTAATGCTAATGAAGACTTCCTCATTACATCAGTCATTGGTGCTGCTTCTCTCAATTAGCCCTTTAGAAAGGGTTTGATTAAGTTGCCTAATTGTCTGCTGCCACCTGAGATCTCTGCCATCCTCTGGGGCTGGGAGCTGTGACACCAGCCCTGCCTGGGGCAAAGATGTGCCTCTCCTTACCAGCTGCTGCAGACCTGGCAGAGGATACTCTGGGTATCTCAAGTGACAGTAGACACCCACATTTAGGCAWCTGAGTCGAACCCTGTGCCCCTAAAGGCCTGGTTTTTATGCTCAAGTGTTAAGTTCCCCGCAAGGGGGAGGGGAAGAATGGAAAATTTAACTAGAACACTAAAGTTTGTATCAGAAGAGTTTTTTTTTTTGTTTTTTTTTTTCTATTCCAGTGTGACACTATTGACTTTTCTGAAAGCAATCTGTCTTCAGAACAGGACATATATCTTTTAGGGCTTCTGCCCTCACCCACCCAACCTCAGGGTGCTGTAGCAGCAAGGCCATAGTGGTTTCAGCTTTCCAGAAACAAAACAGGAACAGAAATAAAAGCTCCACAGACTGAGATCCTGTTGGAAACCTTCTGGAGCACTGGGCTTGCTCACCCAGAATAAAACTTTAGAAGTTTCACAATATTCAAAAGAAGAAAAAAAGGAACCCAGTGCAGCTATTGAGAATTATATTTCTTAGACTTCTTTGAAGAAGAAAATAATGGGGTAAGATAAAGTGTTCAGGGGCTAGGTCTGTTTTCCACATTCTTCACATCAATATAACCTCCTTGGCTTCTACTGCCCTCCAGCCTTATGTTAGCAAGATTGGAACTGGGGCTTCTGATGACCTGGAATGTTTTCTTTATATGCACTACAGTTTTCATTATGGGAACTGATAAAATCTCACTGCTACCAGAAACCCCCGACTGGATTCTACTTCAACCTTGTTGTGCTCCAAATTCCCCATTCAGCATTCCTCTCCCCCTGGCTGCCCCTGCCATGGGGACAGTCAGAACAGGACCATGGATGTATCTTAGGATAGTCGGTTCTGTCTCAGTAGGGCTGCTTCACTTCAGCTCACTGGACCAGTGGGTTGGGGTTTCTCATCTCCATGTATGAAGCAATGCCTCCAACTCCATCTGTGACACAGGTGACTGACCCCATGGGATTGGGGTGCTGTCACCTTGTGTGGTTGTGTCTGTGTGCAAACGCGCATACATTTCATACAGCAATCTGAAACTCAGGCAGAAAAGACACAGGAGCCTGGCTGAGACCCATACAACTGTTATATTGGCGTCAGTCTAAAGAAAGCAATGATACATTGCTTTGGAAATTATCAAGAAATGTAAAAAATGCATTTGCCCTTTTTTTGTTGTTGTTATCGTTGTCGTAGTCACTGGGGCAGGGTTCTGAGTCAGAAAACAAAGCAGAAATAGATGTGGTTCTGTACATGGCGCCTCTCTGGCTGTCCCTCCGTGCTGGGGTGTGGTGGGCAGGGCAAGAAAACAGGCAGGACCCCTGCAGTAGCAGCAGCATCTACACCATCACTGTCCACATGTCCAGCTGAAGAGGCAGATGATGCACAAAAGGTCTGTAGACAATGAAACTCCAGCTCTGGATGACAAGTTCCACTTGCTTTCCCATCGTGTCAGCCACACAGAAATAAGGAAGAAAAAAAGAAATGCACCCGGTGTGGCTGGCCCAGTACTGTCTGGACTAATGAGCAGGAGTGATACAGGGAGGAGGTTTGTTGTTTTATAAGAAATGTCTTTAGTCTGCAGTGTACTCTTGCGAGTCAGAGGTGCTCAGAGGCAAACAGCAGATCGTTTTCCCCATTCTTCCCTTCCATGCTATTTCTCGGCCATAGGTTCCTTCAAAGATTCCATCCACAGCACAGTGATTGTACCCACCATCCACTCCCATACACAAGGAAACACTCCAGGAACTGAACCTGCCTCCTCCTTCCCACTGTCCCCCAGACTCTGCCCCACTCGCAGGAGGCAGCAGCCCTTTGCTCAGGCATGTCACAATGTGCACATTGCAAGTACCTCAAATGAAAAAAAAAAGCTGCCCTCCCCAGAAAGAGAAATTTGCACAGCTGGCACCAGCAATTTCTAAATTTRACACTTGCCCCTCAAACTGAAGAAGTCATTTGCATTCTCCGCTAGCCATACATTTTCCATTCTGCAGCACCTACGGGTGTGCCAGGGGAGGATGGGGYTCCCCTGGCTATTGCAGGCCCTGACCCCAGCGGGAGTAGCAGCTTTCACCAGAAATGTGTGGGACACATCCTTTCCATCAAGAAAAATCCTTAAAGATGGGCTGTCAAGCATCCAAAATGCTCATTGTCACCACTAATTTAGGTAAGTACTGGTTTTTTAGGAGTGAAGAACACCTGTGTCCCATTGGGAGGGTCAGATGGACTTTGTAGCAGAAAAAAATGAGTTAGGGAGCCCTTACACAGCATTTTCAGAAACAGCCAGGCACTGGCATTTCCCTCTTTCAAGTACCTTTGGAGCACTTCAGCACTAGCAGCAGCAAACTCAAAGGGAGACACACTTGTGTGCCTGTCTCCATACAGGCACCAGGGATGAAAGGATGAGACTGACCCACATCAGCTGGTTACTTTCTCCATGGAAGTCTTGAATTATGACTTTGATGACAGATGCCTGTATAAATGGATTCATATTTCTCTAGTTTAAAGGTATTTGGTTTTTCTCAAGGTATCTTGAGCTGATACTGGCCAGTTCAAAAAGTACAGTTAAAAATACCCTTTGCTATTTCTCCTTTATGCTCCAGAGAATCGAGAAGAAAAATAAGAGCATTACAAAAATAATGTAATCAATGTATGCAATGAAGGGTGTTCTTGGACATCTGCAGAAGCTCAAGATTTGAATAAAAGTTTAGCTCTGAGTCAGATCACACCTTGGAACTCAACACTGATCTGCAAGTTTGTGARTCATCCTGAGGAGGGTGAAAAAAACAGCAGTAGTCTAGACAAAAATCAGTTGCATAAAATCTAACAATACATGCCTGTTTTTTTAGCCTCTCTCAGGGTTAGAGACAACTATCTGTGTGAGAAACTCAGAAGAGTTTCACACTTACTAGTCAGGAAATATGGCTGGAACATGCTGTGCTGCCAGATATTTTGTGACTTAGTATCTGACCCATCCACTACAGTCTGGGAAGAGGACTGACACCATGMATAGAAACACCAAAAAGTCCTTGGCATCTGCATCTTGACCAGACTGCAGCAATTCTCCTAATAACGATCCAGAGCTTGCTCTCTCTCCCTCTGCTTTCAGCCCAGACCAGAGCTAGATTACTTTACTTTGTCAACTATGCTGATTCTTGCATTTCTTATCCCAGGATCCTACTATAATTGATCATGGTTCAGCAATTTAATGAAATAATTTTGAAGCCAGATTTTTTCCCCCAGCTCCTTGAATTGCTGGTGCCAGCTAAACATGTAGGATGGATCTGCCAAATGGGCTTGAGGGTCTTGCCACCCTTGAGTGGGACGAGACCTTTAGAGGAACTGAGCAAAAAGAAAAGAAAAAAAAAGTCTGAATAAAATGTCCCAGTCTCAGGAAGAAAGATTCTCTACCAATAGTCATCGTGCACATTAAAAGGGAGTGAAGAAGGAAAATGAACACAAGATATGCAAAATCAGTAACGTTCAATCTGTCAGTGGATTGCAGAATAGTTACTTACACCAGGTACACTTTGTTCATTGTACAAATTAAAAAAGGAAAAAAAAATAGTACCCTTTCCCCAACCACACGTAAAAAAGCACTTAAAAGTTCAAAGGTAAAGCTTGGCACATTCCAAATACGAAATGATTCACTTGACATGCAGCAAAATATACAAGAAGTGATTATTTTTTTTTTCTTTTTTTTTTAAACAAACTTAATTCAATTCATTATCTTTGCTTGGCACAATTGCAATTCATTTTAAAAAAATATTTGAAAAAATACTGAAACTGACCTGAATTCAAGTATAACGGTTTCTTCAACAGAAACATTATCAATGCAATAAAACATCACACAGAATATATCGAAGCGTAACGTCTTCTGGTTGTTTTTTTTTTTGTTTCCCCCCACCCCCGCAATTTTTTTCTATACAGTTTTAATGCCAACACAACTTACAATTTTATTTTAATATTATTGCATTGTTTTTGCATATCTTGTGGAACAGAAAATGCAAAGTTACTGATTCCCTTTTCGAAAGCAGAGACAGTGGTTTGTTTTTGCATTCGARTGGCCCCAGATACAGATCTCCTGCAGCTCAAACCAGAATGTGGAGAACTGCACTTACACACACACACGCACACACACTCGCTCCTATTCCTCCCACACTCACAGATACACTTAGCACTAAAAAGAACCCAAATCAATCACTCAAATGTGCAAGACTATATCAAGTGCATTGCCTACTATCTTTAAATTATAAAACAACAACAAAAAAAGGTTTCAGTTACTAGTAAATAAAATTACAAATTCTCGGTGTACATAATGGTTGGTAAAACTCATCTATCATTATACTTCTACCAAATTCCAATGGCGAAAACCCCCCCCCAGTTTAAATAATACAACATGGTCAAACCAATTTAACATCTGCAAAAGTGAAAATAAACCAAAACAAAAAAGGTAGGTGATTACAAAACGCTGTAAACACTCCCTTCTCCCTCAAAATAATAATAATAATAATAATAAAATAGTCAAAATAAAAACTGCAACATGCTTTCAAGAAAATACCAAAATGCAAAACAAGAACTCCGCACAGGCCCGGCGGCCCCTCAGCCCCGCTGCCAAGCCTGCTCTCCCATTGGCTGGCACAGTTGGCGCGCTGAGCTCTGATTGGCCGGCAGAAGACTGCTTGAGCTCCGATTGGCTGGCGAGTGACCASGCGAGCTCGGATTGGCCGGCAGGGGCCACTGCCGGAGTCTCGGCAGGGCTCGGATGCCCGTGGGCTTCTCCTGCTTCCTCCTCCCCATGGCCGTGTGGGAATCCACAGCAGAAGTCTTCCTCTCCTTCCGAATCAAAAGGCCTTGGCTTTATGGAGACGGTGAGGCTCATACAGAATATGTGCAAAATGATTTTTACAAGCAAAGTTGAAATACACCCGTTTGGCGCAGGGTCCTTTTGGCTGGGGCCATCCACAGGAAGCTGAGGTTCCCCTTCGTGCTCCGGAGGCAGCTGTCGTTCCTTGTGCAGGGACTGAAAAAAAGAGGGAGCTGGTTCTCCTCCTCTTCTTCTCCTCCTCCTCACTCTTCCTTCATGGACACGTGCTGGGGTTATATCCGCTCCTGAAAAGCTTTCTTACACCACCCAACTCTGCGACTCGTCCCAACAGAAATGAATGAAGAACGCTGTTCCGGTTACTCCAGGTCACGAGAACAGTGAGGCACTTCTGAAACAAACCCATTAGGAACATTGAAACAAATAAAAAACCAGCATTGCTTCCAGCCCTGGCAACTACAGGCTGCTGATATAAATCCTGCTGTCCTTGAGCTCCTCCTGACTTATCCTACAATCCGGATTCTGCACCTCTTCCTCTTCCTCTCCTGCACTGTCCTGCCCTGGGTCCCTGCAGTTAGCAAAAGGCAAGAGGTTGCCATTGGGGCTCTGCTTGCTGTTACCATTGAGAATGTTGTCTGCTGCATTTTCCATCTCTTCTATTGTCATGTCGCAGGCGTCTGCGAGCTCCTGGGTTGTGACCTCAATGAACTTTGGATCTTGAGCAAACTGCATCAGTCCTTCCGAAATCAAGACCTTCAAAAGCAGGTGGGGAACCAGAACACAAAAACAYGTTAGTACTGTGCAGCATCGATCCTGTCACACCTCTAACACAACCCTCTTTACTGCTGTGTTTCCTTCTCCCATTCATGCTGCTAAACCCCTGCYGGGAGATGGGCCCTCCTAGCATTTGTGGGCACCAATGGATCTGTTGCTCTACTCTCCCGAGSACCATGTTTCTAGCTGGCCGTGCCACAGCGTCCTTCGCCACTGCGTTCTTACCGCTTCCACCAGGCTGCTGGCGCTGCCGTGGAACTGCCGGCTGCTGCCTGCGGTCGGGCTGGGCACCGTCAGAGACACCGGCCGGGCTCTCCTGGGGCTGCTGCCGCTGTCAGGATACCGGGAGCCGCAGTGGACTGACGGCAAGCTGCTGTTGAGCTTCTCCGAGGACTCGGCCCCTTCGAGGCGCAGSGTTGGGATGGTCTGTTGCGGCCAGCCCCGGTTGCAGGGCGTGGCCGGGGGCGTAGCACACAGCCGAGAGAACATGGTGGGGGAATGGCTTCGCTGGAGCAGGGGACTCAGGCCAGCCACTGCTAATGCCTGTGGACAGAGGAGGGACACGGTGAGTGAGAGCTTGCAGGGCTGGAACAAGGAGGTGCTGGAGAAACCATCTGAGAAAAGGCCTGGAGAGTCTCGGGGCTTGTGAAAACAGCACCCTGAAGGGTTTGGATGTTGGCTGCAAGCTCATTTTGCWAGCTTTTCTTTAAATGGTGTACCCTGTGCTAGTGCCAAGTGCTGGACTGGAAACTTTCAGAACCGCAGTTCTCTAGTCTGGTAGCCATGGCACTGCTAGAAGGGATGCAGCCCCACTCCACATGCACTGCCAGGAGGGATGCAGCCCCATTCCCCATGGCACTGCTAGAAGCGATGCAGCCCCATTCCCCACGGCACTGCCAGAAACACCACATCTTCTCCAGAGGGCGAAACAGTAATTCACTTTCCCACCACTGAAACCACACATAKCACAGGCTTTTATTGCCAGGCTTASTGTATTTTAARTGAGCAACTGAGGAACCTGAAAGACACCAGATGTGAATTTTAGATGTGTCTGCAGTTGGCAATAACTTTAAATCCACCACTGGATTTTAAGGCATCTGCTGTTGGTGGGAGGATCAATATCTGATGATTACACTTTCAGCCATCCAGTCCTTCCTGTAACCATATACACAACCTCTGAGTCATCCAGCCTCCTCTTGTAACAAATTCCTCAGGAAGCCTCTTGTTGTGCAAGGCTGATCTGAGGCCTTACTGATGTGACTGCTTCCTTGTTCTATAAACAAGACTGTCAGAGTCATAGGCTCATCTCATAGAGCTCATGGCTGGGCAATGAAATAAATGCATAGAAAATGCAAAAGCATGTGGATTGTGCTGTATTCAGGCTGGGGTTAGGCTTACCCAGATTCAGCTGTGGGAAGGCTCTGTTTAGTCTAAGCTAACTGTGCAGAGAGGCACTGGCAAGCCTCCCTCGTCTTCAATGCCTGCCTGAAAATGCTGCCTCAAAGACATGACTTACACAAGGCTTAAACCTGCCCTCTGGTGATGCTCCTTCCCTCTGTTGACCACAGTCAGACTGAACTGACTGATTTAAACAGACAGCTMACCTTAAGCTATGTAATGCTAAGTCCATCTGCCAGTGAAATCCTTGGGAGCAGATAACTACATTGTGCTGATGACTTCAGCAGTGTCAGGTAAACAAAAGAATTAATTAGTCACCTGCAAGTTCACCAAGGCTTTTCCAGGAATTAGATGTCAGACTCCTATCACATTTCAGTGAAGAAGTAAGTTGTTAAAACTTTTTCTGAATAAGTCATGCCCCACAGGCTATGACAGCCTCAGCACATCCCTTAAACTGCCAGGACTTCAAGAAGAGACCTAGATCTGTCAGGCAGGACAACTGAACTAATTTTTCAGCTTGTTGGCAGAAACATATGCCAAATGTTTTAACAAAAATTTAAGGTTCTGAGGAAGCTGGAAGAAGCTCTGTGGGATGCTTTGAGCTTCAGCTGCATACATTTACATATCATGATGTACAGGTATTCCATGAGAACACCTCTTCAAGCATTCACYRCAACAGAATTCATCAGGTTTAGGAGAGGCAACCTTCCCACTCCGTGGTTTTGTGCTGCATGGTGGGATGAGGAAGGGTGAAGTAGCTCCATCTTATTTGTACAGGTTGGATGGAGGTGATTCTGTCAGCTGTGTGGGCTGCCATGGGAGGGCAGGAAGTCTCAGGAGGGCTGTTGCTGCTCTGGTGAATGTGGGAAGCTGTTTCCTGACCAATCCTCCCTGTTCCAACACATTTTCTGGTTTTCCCTGCCACCTCGAGGGAGGTGGGTTGCTTTGAGTTTTAGCTGCATACATTTACATAYCATGATGTGCAGGTATTCCGTGAGAACACCTCTTCAAGCATTYACCGCAACAGAATCCATTAGGTTTAGGAGAGGCAACCTTCCCACTCCATGGTGGGAAGCAACCCTGCCTCCCTCGAGAATGAAAGGATAACTCTCTGGAAGTGAGAAAAGCCAGGGATTCTCAAGCCTACTCACTCATCTCCTCACTCCTCTGACTTCTCACTCCTCCCATTCCTGCTGTGGCAGCCTGAAGAGGCAGCAAGGCCATCCTGCCCTGCTTTGGGGGACTGCATGGAACAAGGATGTCACACTTGCAAGGCTGGCACTGCCATCTGCACCTGTTTCTTTTATAGTGACGAAAAGTGGCATAATCAAACCAAAAGACACAGATCTCCTTTGGAGTCTGACAGCTGGCTAATCATCTAGGTACGTGCCTAAGCATACATTTGCTAGACTGCTGAACACAGTTACAAAGGGCTTAAGAGGCTGATTGATTACATGTAATCAGTTTATGTTTTAAAATGATTAATTACACTTACTGGTTACCTTTAATTAACATGAAAGTAGACTGCACATTTTATTCATGTGCATACTGCCATCAAAGCCTGTGTAATTGCACTGCAGTATGCAATTTGGGTAGTTATTTTTATCTTTTGCTAGTACTTTATTCTTTAATGAGCATCAGGAAATGATACTGTAGCTGACTCCAAAGGATATATTCCTGTAGCATTCTTCTGGGAATGATAAAAATCCTGAAAGCAGTAAGGAGTAGGATTGCAAATCTGATTGCTAAAACCTGGGCCTTTGGTATGGGTGAGAATCTATCCCAAATGGATTTTAAACARTGGGTAGGGATGCWCTRGAGGGGCRCTGCAGGTGGCAGGGGCCCTGTGTRGTTATTAAYACTCACCTGATGATGGACCAGATGCAAAGGCAGGACTGTCTTCTGCGAGACGTCCACGCCCTGGTTTTTCTGTCTTTTCAAACATTCTAGGTGAAAAGATGCTCTTCGACCTGAAACAGCAACCACACACAACGTTTACATCACTCATAATACACCACAGGTAATCTGTTTTCAGTTTCTTTAGTGCAGTCCCACTGGACATACAACAAAGACACATGTTTTAGGTTCTGTCCACTTTCCCWTGATGCCGTGCCCTTTCCAAAGCCTCTGTATTTACAGAGAGCACTCAGGCATCATGAACCCATCAACACTACCTTCCAAGCAAGCTGCAAGGTAGGATTTGGAACAGTTTTTCCCTCAGCAGGGTAATGGCAGCTGAGACTCTGGTACTGTGCTGGCTGTACACAACATGCAGACGGGGACATCAGGCTGCTCAGGTGACACTGGCCCCCTGCTTGCAYGTGATCTGTGTCCCTCAGCTGCCAGACATACCACAGTTTATRAGACTGTCTACAGCAAGGTCAAGTGGAATTGAATAAATCAATGGTCCATTTACTGATGAATGGAGGGTAACTTACATAGATATGAAGCATTTTCAGACTTTGGAAGGAAGGGAAGGGGGAAGAAAAGATTTTAGTGGGAACTATTGAAACAGTCACATTGTTTACTTGCTATAAAATTAAACTTCTGTAAATATGAGAAAGGAACTCCCTATGAGGAGCTTTAAACTACTGAAAAGTATGTTTGTGATCAGGTGCTTTACTTCTGAAGAACGGCAAACAATCCAGTATTAAAGATTAAGGCATGGCACACTGAAATATTTTGTAGTCTTCTTGATTTTGTTGACATTTTTCTAAAGAAGGAAAGAAAATTAGAATTGTGAAAATAGCAAGTATCTATAATACTGGGTTGTTGARAAAAAGCCATCTCAGGGTTGGAGAAAATTCGTTATAATCCAGAGAATGAATGTTACAATGCAGGTTAAAAGTACTTCCTCTTTCTAGAGGAAAAAAAATAGTAAAATGAGTATGACATTAGTGTATAAATATTCACTAGAATGYAGTTAACAAAGGACTGTATCAAGAGCTGACTACTTTACAGATGGATATAGAAGCTGTCATTGCCTAGTACTTTTGGATTTGAAATAAAATAAGTGCTCTTACAACATTCAAGTGTCCTGAAGGATTTAAGTGAAGACTCAGTAGCCTCACTTTAAACATTACACTACCTAGTCTGTCACTGTTATTTTGTAAAAATGTATTTTATATGCATGATTCTTTTTAGTTTCTCCCTTCAATGCTCTTTTTACCACACCAACACTCAGAAGCAGGCTGAAAAGTGTTATACCCAAGAGTTCATTTTCTTGCTGACTCTCTTGGTACTTTCATAAAACTTTATGATTCATGGGTTTTACCTTACAGTAAAGCACTTGAAAATCTCCAGGTACAATTAGAGCAGAAGGCAAATTTGTGTTGTGTTAACTTAATCTGACATTTGGTGTCTTCCTGGTAGCAAACAAAGGAGACAATCTCTCATTTCTCCTTGCTGAATACACACAGAGCAGAACACCATAGACTCAAGGCTCACCCATTCGGTGACTCCCTGGTGATTGTTTGGAGAGTACAGTGCTCAAATAAACTGCTCTAACTCATAGGCAGACTTAATCAAACAGATCACAGGGACTGTCCAAACAGCCACARGTTCATCTGCTGACTGAGTGTGAAGCTGGCAGACTCATGTGTGTGATCAGGATTGTCTGCACACCCTGGTATCCCTGGCCTCAGGAGCTGAATGAAGCAAACAGCAACAGCCATGCTCCACAGGCTGGGATTGCTCCAGGGAGATGTGGGAACTACATCAAGGGAAACACAGCCTGGCCCTGCTGGGACGATACCTAGTGCTGAGGAGCAGAGAAACCCCTTCTTCGGAGAGTGCCGGGTGTCCTCTCCTTTGTTGTTTTCCGGTGGAGTGAGTTGTCTGTTTTCATCATCTTGGTATGCAAGCCTGGGAAGGAGAGCAGAGGGATTTAGAAAGGCACTTGATATTGGACAAAATAAGCCCTCTTCCAACAAGGAAGCCAGCCAGACCATGCTAGCAAAGGGAGCAAAAGCAAGCTAGCTTCAAACTTTACTGATCCAGAAGCAGTAACAAGAGACCGTGAGACAAAGAACCCTTTAAAATGAGGTCTGGGAACATCAGGAGGTAGAAGTGAATGTGGGAGGAGGCCTTGCAGATCAGGATGTTTCACTCAGAGAAGGAAAATCCTAGGTGAAAGATACCCATTTCACTGTTACTTCTAGGGTTGAACCGCATTAAAAAAAAATCTGATATTTGAGTTGTCTGACTAAAATTTTATGACCTTCTTCCATTACAAGAAATTTTTGTAGAAAAACATGACCTCTTCCCATTTCTCCCCCTTAGTTAAAGAACCACCCAAAAACCTTGACTAAAGCTGCTAAGCTCACATTTCGGTAGAGAGCAGACTTGGTTCACTACAGTACTCGATGTCTTCATTCAAATTTTCATCATAAGTCTCATCCTGAGACACTTCCTCTTGGCAAACAATTGCCAGCTGGCTGTCTCTGGAACTGGAGCTAATGAGCAAAAAAGACAAGTCAAGAGATGGAGAYGGTAAAGACAACCTGTTACAAAGACAAGAATGACAAGCTCCATCTGTCTCAGTTTATTATAATGCTGAAGAGCCATCATAGAAAAATCAATGCTGAACACAGCTACAGAGTTCCCAAATACAAACAGCCTTTGTCTGTGTCCTCTTTCACAGGATGACTTTTTAAGCCAATGCTGAGCAATACTGGAAATGTATTTTGTCATTTGTGACTACCTGTACTTTAGTAATGTGCACATCACACTGACCACATTTCYAAAGATAACACCTCACTGACCTCACAGGAAAATCTGAGATGGCCCTCAGTAGTAAGCTTTTTCTCTTGTTGCAAAAGASTGGGTTATGGATTTCAGAGAAGCCTCCTGGACACTCACAGTAGTAACCTTTTCATCTATGTGATGTGTGGCCTTTGCCTCCCAAATCCCTCACTCTGTGCCAGCTCTGCCCTCTGCCTCCTGGTCACATTCTCATCCTTGCTGGTTTTTCCACCTTTGGTCCCTTTTTTCTCATCACTACTGCAGAGTGCTTCTATTAAATTCAGTAGGATCTGTTCAAACCCWTAGGTTTGACAGCCCTTAATTCCCTGCTTGTGTCCTCTCTATCCCTCTGTTTCACATTTCAGCACTTGTATTTCACTTCAATTGGACTTTGTGTTTTATGAGGAGTACAGTAAAATCTGGAGGTAGCTTGAATCTTTGAGGTACTGACATGGAGGTATTGGGAACAATTTCAGTTTCTTACTAGCATTTGCAGAAGAGATCAGGGTGGCATTTTTTTTATCTTTTAGGGACTGGAGAGGCAATATTATTCTGTCATGTGGTTAAAGCAAAAACCATTGGGAGAAATGTGTGTATGCATTGTATAAAAGACCCTCTAGGACAGTGCTGCAGTGACCTTCYTCTGAAATGGGAAGCAAGTAAAACTGCTGAGGTGCAGAGGGGAAAAAGTGGCATCACCTCCTGTTCAACAGTCTGTATTTAGCCAAATCCATACAGAACTTCTGTATGAACATGCCAGGGTGTACTTCACTATGCTGTGATCAGAGAACGTGTTTGGCCAGCCAGAATCTCTAAAAAAAACCAATTCTAGAAAACAGCYAAAACATTAATCACTACCTGCCCTGAGTTGGGAGTATTTACTGGAGCTGYCATGGTGATCAGGACCTCTATTTCAGCCCTACTGACACAAAAAAGGAGAGCTCATATTCAGCATTCATAGGAATTTGGAGTTGGGATAGGATGAACAGTGGGTCTTACATCCAGACARCATTAGAGGAGAACACGTACCGTCCCAGTGTCTCGTAGTAATGTGTCCTAATTCAGGGAACGTGCCCAGGGAAGCAAGGAGAGAAAAGAACACCACGTTAGCAGTGTCACAYCAGCACAAGTCAGCAAGGAGGAGGGCAGATGGTAACAAACGTTGTGCAACTCCTGCGGCCTCCCTCGGGAAGGCACAAAATAGAAAAGCCACGGGACTCTTCACTTGGGCAATTCTGCACCCATTGAAGTTCCTGTCTTATTGCCCTATTCTGTCCTTTCCGGAGGCAGCATTTGTCCACCTTTTCACACTGTTCACTCTCTGCACTGAAAAAAAAAATCCATCTCCTTCCTGCTGTTTCTGAAAGTATTAAAAAAAATCCCCCACTGAGAAAAATTATATTCCTTTTGTATTAGTCATCTGTGTGTAGAGTGCCTGAAAACTGTCCAGAGAAGGSGATTTACTTTGCCTTGTTTCTGAAAACCTTGCCTCCCTCCTCCCAGAATGCCCTGGTGACTTCTGTAGGGATGTGACCCACTGAATGAAAAACCACTGACTTCAACAAAACTCCTTATTGGGCAATTAAGACATGAAGTGCACTCTCCTTCAGTTACCAGTTGATAAAACACCTCCCTGCATTGAAAGAGGTATTAATAAGGTTCCCTTTAGACCTTACAAAGGTTTCTTCCTCATAAAGCCCAAAGAAATCAAGTGTGTTGGTCCMTGAGAGTGCTGCTGCTGTGCAGTGGCCAGGTGGTGCACATCTGTTGCACTGGGGGCTTTGGCACAAGTGGAGYACCAGAAGGCTCCCTCCAGGCTACTGGGCAATGTCTGGGAGTGATTTCAGCTCAGCAGCAGTGCTCTGGTGTTCACATGCACCTTCCAACACCTGCTCCTTTGGCTCACTCTCTGCTGGGAAACTTACCTTTTGGATGGGAGTTTCCAAGGAGCCTCCTGCACACATATGGTGGGTGACAAGGGCGTCCCATGGCCTTCCACTGTGCTGACAGTGCTGGGGTAGTTGGGTGGGCTGGGGAAGCGACACAGGGCGGTGTTGTTGGCATTGTTGATGTTGGCRTTGGAGCCTGAAGATGAGTAGCTGCTGGGAGTGAAGGTGGAATCCACCAGCTTCTCGTGAGATGGAGACTCGGTATCTCCGTGGTTGTTGCCAGACTTGTTGATGTGCAAAGGTCTCTGGGTGGTGAATGTCTGGGGGAACCCACTCCTGCCGTCACTTTGGTAATAGCTCACGTGGTTTCCAAACAAGCCTCCAGCTCTCTGTTGGAGAAACAGAGGGGATTTTCCTTTGTAAGTGAGAAAAAGTGCAAGGGCACTAGTGTTTCCTGCTTAGCCTGTCCTTGAGGAAAAAAAGTGAGGACCAAAGTGAGCATGATGGTAATGGTGCTCTCTCTTCCAGAAGGCAGTGTGTCGACTTCTCTGTCTTACATAGGCTCTGAAAGCTTTAGCTTTCTACAATATTGCAGAGGACTGGCAGGTGTAAGTGTAGGCAAAGGTGTCTCTACCCCTCCCACCAGTCCTGGGAACCCAGGGGTGGGTATGGATGCAAGAACCAGGTAGCTGCTGTCTGGTTTTCCCAATTAYAAAGGAACATTTAGACATGAGAGGGGATTTGAGAGGAGAACGAGAAAATGTTAATCACCTGGAGGAAGAAATGAAGAAAGATTTAATGAGCCAGTTATGTACTGTTTAGATGGTGAATAATGAAATGAACTGACAGCATCTTTCTGTAAAGAAAGGAGGAAAATGCCATAGGAGAGAAGAAGTTACCAGAGGAGACGATTACAAGAAACAGGAATGAAATAAGAAAGAAAAGATTCAGGTAAATTGCTCAGAAAATTTTCTCCTTCTGTGAGAGCTCTGTTGGGTTCTTTTGGATGTACTTTTTGGAATGATATTACCAGTGCCACTGAAAGGAGGAGTGAACAAAACACTAAAGAGTGCCTGGYGGCTGCTCTGCAGACTGCAAGATGGCTGAAATGATCTGTTCTTTAGTTTAGGTTTCATGAGGGAAACTTCCAGYGAGATGTTTCCCTTGAAAGAAAGAGGGAAGGAATTGGGATAAAACTGCAGAGATCTTAGGACCTGGCACTTAAGACCTAGGTCCACCACTGTTTTCTGGTAAGATCTACAAAACAAGGAGGGCTCAGCTGAAACACAGAATGCACAAAAGCAAAGGTAGCGCTCTGAGCTCAGCCTCAGTTCACAGACTTGTTCAGAACCTACCCGGAAGATGTCATCTTCAGAGGCAGCAGAAACAGCTTCTTTCATGGCCTTATCCAGCTCTTCTTCAGCTGTCAGGTCTCCAGAAATTGCTCGTCGGATCTCTGGCCCAATGTCGTGGAGTGTGCGCAGACCAGCCTGCAAAACAGCAAACTATAGAGCTTCATATCTCCGAGTGGGTACAGGAGAGATAACAGCATTGCCATTCCTTCCTAAACACTGTGGAGCCCTTTTACTTAACAWAGCACCCCCAGCTCCTAGAAAAAACACCAATAAATTCTGTTCTTTCATCTCCATCTTGGAGAAACTCTTAGCAATAGAACTGTGGCATGTTTGTTGCTAGTCCCTGGCTTCATCACAACAGGACATAGACATAAATCCACAGGCCTGACTTAGCAGGTCTGTGTGCTTTCAACTCTGGGTTCTCAGATCCACAATCAGAAGCTCCAGTGCAGCCATAGTTCCAGTTACAACCATGTACTTTGGTGCCTCTGAAAATCTTTTCTTTTTAATCAGCAGCTTACACATGGATGTAATAACTAAGCTACTGACATCTGGACCTGAAGAGTCCTCAAATCCTCACTGACTGGAGTCTGTTCCGAAGAGTCCACCCAGGGTGATAAGGTGTGGGTGTACTGGGGCCTCATTCTGTATTTGTGCCTGCATCACAGTACTTTTAAGCTTGCTGAAACTACAGTGTACCCTTGAGGGACAAAAAGAATGCTGGTTATACAGTCAATGGGGCTTTCTCATTCTGTCACACAGCCTGGTAGTCTACTGAGAGAACAGGTATCACAGCAGATAATGGATCCCAGTCCTTACAGTGTGATGCCCTGTCCATTGGATGGCCTTGGCATCCAGGTATGCTTTTTGCTTTTTAAGTGGTTTTGCCTCCTGGGAACATGCACTCCTCAGAATGGGTCAAATATAYGTGGGTAAACAAAAGTCTGTAGGACACGTCATACAAGTTCTCTGAAAGGGTTCCAAATTTCAAATATGGCAGATTGATAAATTTTGATTGTGTCTCGCCTGTGCCTTCCATTTCCAGAGCTGAGGGATGTAAGCCCATGTTCCATAGGTATTTCTCCAAAGAATTGCTGTGATAATTCAAGGGGTCTACGAGCTCCTTTCTAGTASGGGTAGCCCATTCTAGCCCCCAGAATGGTGAAGAGGGAAGTGAGGCCACCTGTCTCTACTGCACCACCCCTGTCCACTCAGGGCCCGCTTGTCACCTGTAAGGACAGCGCATTGCGCTGCGAGGGCTTCCCCACCAGCCCCTGCTCTTTGCGTTTCTTGAACTTCCGGAAATAYTCCTGGATCAAGAAAGTGGCGTAGAACTTCCCGACGGTCACCTCGTCATCTGCAAAAGGGGGTTGAAACAATAAATTAAATTAGCAGCTGATTTTAACAGTGTATGTGCTCATGTGAGCCTTGCAGAAACCTTAGGCATTTTTTTTTATGGCATCAGGATGTGGGGCTGAAGGAAGGGATTGCTCTGCAGCCAGAGCTTGCTGTAAATAGTCAGTAGGAGAGGTGCAGGTGGTGTTTGAGCAGAGTGGTTCTGCTGGCAGACAACCCCTACAGTCTAGACCTCTGGATGGATTTTGTTAATGAGGGAGTACATCTAACCTTGGCAGTCTCTGGTGTTGGTTAACCACACCGGATCTCCTTATAGCAGCAGCCTCCCAGTCTGGGTCAACACATGYTGCTGTCTTGTGACAGCCTGGGGTAAGACTTATTCACAGCCTGGGCTCAGCTACAGCATCTGACTGATCATTCATCCCAGGCYTGATTTGACCCTTCTCTGCACTGCAATTCTGTCTGTTCATGCCTAACATGGGTGTGAGCGCACAGAAAATATCACCTCTCCCCTGAAATGCAATCACAGCTGTGTTGCCACTCAGTAAAAACTCAGCCAAAATGTGCACGACATTTCTCTCCTCCCTTCTCCAAATCCACTGGATATTTTATAAAACATGGTCCACTGACTTCAGAGCAGGCAGAGCAAGGCTCAGGGCCTGGCTGCACCTGTTGGCCGATTACCAAGTGACATTTTGTGCCCAKGGGGCCACCTGGAAAGTCAGTGAGTGCCACACTGGATGCCCACAGTAACTCCTATTSATGCACAATTTCTTCTTTCCCTGATTTCTCAGCAGTAAGAACAGGATATTCATGTTAGTATRGAACAGACCTCAGCCTGATGAAATACAGATAGCTTGTGGAAGAGAGCCYGTCCCTGATATTCCACCTGATGATCACGAAGTGCTGTAGGACGTGACAGGTGGGAGTAAAAAAAAACAGAGAGACTCAGAGACAGGGACAAGATCCTGCACTCACCACCTGCAGGAGGCACCACCTGGTCCAGCAGCTTCATACTGGTGCGCTTCCAGATTTTCTTAATTATTGCTCTCAGCTCTTCGTTGGCTTGCTCCAGGTTACCTGCCGGGTGAAAATCATCCGAGACAAGAATTAAGCAGACCCTGCAGAGGAGCAATTTAGTGTCTGGCATGGCAGTCTCAGGAGGTAAATATCAGTGTTTTCAGTAGCGGGAAGTTTTGGCCCAAGAGATGCTCAGACCATTCCTAAATCTCCCTCACAGCAAGAGGTCTTCTTCCTAAATATGCACAGTCATCATTGGATAGGGAGATGACATTCCTTCTAGATACCCATTGCCTCTCAAATGAGTCACCTTCAATTTTATTTCTTGATTTATGTACATTCAAATCCCTCTCTTCTGTCTCTAGGTGTCTGAACCCAGTATCTTGTCCTCCTCAAGGTGCCGTTGTGCAGTTTTTATTTCTCTCCAGCACTAAGGCTCCTGAGGGTGCTGCACAGGGCTCTGCATGGCAGCAGCTCTTGTAATAGGATGCAGCAAAGATAGGGACACTGAGTAACTTGCTGGGGATGCAACACATGGGCAGCATCAAAGGCACAAATCTGACTCAGGAGGGCTAACTCCAAACTCCTGTCCTGACCGCTTAAAAGATCCTGCCAAGGCAAGAAAGCAGTTTGAGGCTTTAGATCATTTTCCATGAGTTCATTGGCAATGACTCCCAGAGTCTGAGGCTCAGGCAGACCAGAAAATTGAGTCCTTTTTGGGTCTCTGTTTCATAAGACACAAGATGTTTTACACGGGATTGTGGGTGACTTTTCCTCAGGAGAGTCTACAGTCAAATTCTGTTCAGCACAACTTTCAAAGCCTAAATAATTATTTTTTTTTTTAGTTTTGACACTGTTTTTTTTTTTTTTTTTTTTTTTTTTTTTTTTGGCTCAGCTGTGTACAGCTGGCACAGTAAGGTAGAGTTCTGCTGGTCTCTGCTTCCCCATACCTGAAATGTAATGCAGCCACTCCTGAGGCAGAGATGTTTAGCTGTGAATCATAGACCTACATGCTCTTTTAGTGCATCTCATTAATACATGAAGCCAGATTTGGACTCAGGACCAATATCTTTTATTACAGCAGGTGACAGAGTGCAACAAAGAAGACAAGCTGAGCCCCAAATCTTCCCTGCTTTCCTCAAATATGCCTGCTGTCTATGCAAAGCTATTAACAGTCCCTGTAAGTCTCATCTGTCTTTACACCACCACTGTTACTACATTGTAATGTCAACTCATGCTAATGGGAGCACAGGAGGAGTTTTTGTGAGATGAGACCCTCGAGTCCAAGCTCTTTTGTCTCCCTTGGACTGTAAGATCAGTGGCAACAGCAGTCAAAAAGTGGCTCAGCTCTGCAGACAGTATACAAAAAGGAAGCTTCTTTGCCCTTCATCCTTCCCTTAATTGCTGTTTGAGCACACATTGATCTAAAACTTTCAACTTTCAGACCACTGTGAAGAATGTGATCAATAATTTGAGATGATACTGTAGGAAGCACCAGCTTCCTAGGTAGTGGGAAACACTGTGCTCTCCTTAGAAGGTATTATTTCTCCAAACCCCTCTACATAGCTTTTTGTCCCATGTGATGACATGCTGCATATGAGTAATTTGCTGCATATGAGTAATTTGGATCATTTTACACAAGATTTTCCTATTGGTTTCTTCCAGCTCAGAACACCTTGGCATGAACACTGCTCTGCTGCCTTTTTGTACCTTTGCAGTCAGCAAGCTTCTCACCTTCTGTCTTGATTCTCAGTGCTGTTCTGACCAATGCAAAGAGAGTGGCATTGAACATGACAGTTCCATCACTGTTCAGTGGCATATTCATAGAGACAAGACGCTGTGGGATAAAGAGAAGAAAAACAACAATTATACTGTCACACATGGACTGAAGCATGCTCTTCCTTGTGATGCCCTCCAAACCTGCCATCCCTCTTATGTGAATATCCATGGTGTGTAGATTTAGTTACACCTTGAGAATGCCTTATTATTTCTCTCTGTCCTAATCTGTCTCCAGATGTGTGTTTAACAGTCCAAGCAGATGTGTGTTGAGAGCTGTATTTAGCTCAGGTGTGTTCTCCTAAGCACACACAGGACTGATGGCCCTGACTAGTGCACAACCCACCTGCTGGTGACCCTCCAGCCCTCGACTGGATGGTTGCAGCCCAGAGGAGCTGGTGAGAGACACAGGGCAGCCCAGGGGTGGTTCAGACACATGCTGTTGCTGCCTCTGCCTGGTGGGCAGCGAGCTGGGRTGTGCCCAGTGAGTGAGGCAGGGTCAGCTAGAAAATGCCACTGCAGGTTATTTAGTGTAAAACAACRTGTGGGGGTTGGAATTAGATGGGCTTTAAGGTGCCTTTTGAGCCAAAGCATTCTGTGTTCTGTGCCTGATTCTCTGATTTTGCTGCTGTGAGCCCAGCCTCCCCCTCACTGCAGTGTGCCTTACTTTGCAAGCCACCCGGTGAGGGCAGAGCTTCCCGAAGCCCAGGGGGGGCTGGATTCGCCGGAGCAATGTCACCACATCCAAGTGTTTGATCCGTCCCCTAAAGAAGAAAGCACAGTGAGGGCTGCATCCTGACCTGCTGGCCTGCCTGCAGAGTGCAGCTACAGCTGAAAGTGTCGCTGAGATCTCTTCAGCCTCACGCTGCTGCTCCCTGTAGCTTAGGCAYAGCCTAAAGTATTATTTCAGGCTTCTTGCATTTGGTGCCTTCTGCAGGATTTACTCAGCACTCAGATAACTTCTACCAGTGCAGAAATCCTAGCTGTCAGTCATACTTGGGCCAATACTTGCAAGAATTGACCTCAGCCTTTTCAATGTTGCAGTTAGTGCATGAACAGACAATTTGGGGTTGGTCCTCCATCACTGCCCTGCTCAAAAGAAATATCTGCTTATTTACTTGGTGGTCTGAGGCCTAGAGCAGGCAGAGAGGTGCAAAGGGTCTGTTTCTTTCCTTGTGGTTTACCTCCCACATAAACAGCCCCAAGCCACTGTCTTTTAATACTTGTTTATGCTTTGGGCTGTCACTAGAGTGAGCACAAAACAAAGCACTGAAATTCCTCCACAGTAGCAGTCACATTTCTCTTAAGTTTGAAAAATGACATCTCAAAAGAAGAATTCTCTCATGGAGGGAGGAAAGCTACCCAAGCCAGAGGAGGGGCATGGAACATAGATGGGGAAGAGGAATAAAAGAGCTTCCCATTAATAAACAGGGAGGATCAAAATGGCATCTGAATTGAGTGGCTATACATTATATGGCTTCAGCCACTTCACTCTTGTCTTCAAACAAGCACAAATAGTAGCATCTGTTTTGCTAACAAATGGAATATTTATTAGAATTCTGTGCTTATTCCCCATCCATATTAAAAGTCCCCCCCTGGGAAGTCACCATGAATGGGAAGAAGTGTTTAAATTCACATATCACTCTCATAATGTGGCACACCCTCACACATGGCAGAACCTGAGCCCAGATTAATCTTGACACTATGTCTCCTAAAGAGATCTGCTTTTCGTTTACACCAAAATCTCTTTCCACAGCTTTTGCTCTATGAAGGGGGCTTTGMAATTACAATTGTCAACTGTACTGTAATGCCACAGGGATCTAAATGCACTTTAAGCTTAAGCATGTGTCAAACAGAGCATGTAATACTGAATGTCAGTTAAGCCCTCATGTGAGTTGTTCTAGTGTAACTTTAAATCCCTGCAAGTCTGCTGATGTGAATAACCCCGCAGACAATGTAATGCAGCCACATGAAGGTTGCAATGGGCATATATCACATATGACAAAACTGAGATTTGAGCACAGCAGCTCTGCTGTGAGCAGAAAGTCAAGCAGAGGAGTCACAGCTCAATATCCCAAACAAATACAACAATAAACCAACTCTATCATCTCCTTTTCTCAATCCCCTGCTGCCTCTCAGGAAGTCTATACCTCTTCCTGATAGAAAGTAAAGCAATATCCTGACAGATAACAGTGCAGCCTAAATGCTGAGATTTCTGTGAGTATCCTTGCACTTTGGGCTTATGGATTTACCAGCAGTACCTTCTGCGATACCTGTTTTGGAAATTTTTTATTTAAAAAAAAAAAAAAAAAAAAAAAAAAAAAAAGGTTCCTGCAGGAGGAACATGGCACTTACTGCACTGGGTCTAGAGAACAGAAAATAATGGGCCTGTTCTCCTGAGGAGCTCTGATATCCAGGCTGGGTTACTTACTTAGCTTCAGGGTCATACTCTGCCCAGATCCTTTTAAACTCATCCAGGTGGTGTGGTCCTAAAATGGACCAGTCCCGTGTCAGGTAATCGAAGTTATCCATTATAACAGCTACAAAAAGATTGATGATCTGCAAACAAGGACAGAGATGATGTGATGGATGAGGCAAGGAACAGTAGATTTTAGCAGGTTGTCCACTTAAGGTCTGGATTTGGACTCACAAAACTATGAAGCCATTTGGKTTAGGTTCTTAATTCCACTATGCCATCCCTGCCAGTTTAAATGGGAAGAGCCTAGTGGTGGAATAGTCTCAGCTGGTTACATTTTTCTCTTCCCTACTAAATGGAGGAGGCACAAATTTACTGAATGCTTAGATGTGATGTGGTAGCTTTTTATTTACCTGTGTCTTTGCCTGGCAGAATGGGGTGGGAGAACCTGGGATTTATCTTCGATAGGCAGTGGGGCTGAGATAAAAGTCCTTTCTTCTGGCCCAAGACCAAAACTTATTAAACGTTGCTGCTGTTCACTGGGAGAGTTTTGGGCACTGCTGCCAGCTGCAGAGCGTGTGCTGTCGCTCTGAGTGATGCTGCATTGCCAACAAGGAGCAGATGCAAGTGGGATATGTGTATTCTCACAGTCATTGCTGCTGGCAGGGGAGGAAAAWCCTGCTCAGCAGCCAGAAGGAAGGTAGGAGGGAAGGTGGGAAGTGTGGCTAAGGCGTTGCTAGCCTCAGCACAGCCCACAACACACTAGTTTGGTTTTCTCATTGAGGGGGAGGGAGGAAGAGTGCTCCTTTGCTGTGCACAAAGCATTGGGATTGGAAGCAGAGCATCCCCCGGAGCTGGAGGGAAGCAGGGAAGGGGTGTTGTCACTAAAAGGGTGCTGCTGGGAAAGACCCCACGGGAGATTTCCCCTGTTCGAGATCATTCTCCTCCTGTGCATTGCTGATGTCTGGGGAAGCAGAGGCTCGGTGTGACAGAGGGGAGGTTTTGGGTTGGGGGGACTCACCAGGAAGGCACAGAGCATGTAGAAGCTGATGAAATAGAAGACGGCGAAGCTGCTGCCACAGGAGTGATCGGCTTCCGTGGAGTTGGCCGGCTCTGACTCCGGGTCRCACTTCTTGTCCGGGAGACATGCCAGCATGATTTCCTGCCAGGCCTCACCCGTGGCACACCTGGGCATGGCAAAGGGCAGGGGAAGACAGCAGTGACCTTGCATGTGACAGGGACTGGCATRTTAGCAACCTGTTCCTGCTCCCATGAACATTAATGGGAATTTTGCCACCGAGGTCTATTAAGAGCAAGTTTGGCCGATGGTTTTGACATCCACTGGCATACCCTGCTCCTCTGCTTGGTTTTCTTGCCATCATTAGGGCATCTTTTCTGACTGGCTTTGGCCACTGTGGGTGCAGGGCTCTCACATTTCAACCAGACTCATGGAGATCTGTGAYATGGCTGTGGATTGCATCTAAAAAAGTCCTCTAGCATTACGACAGTGTTGAATTTGTGCCAACTTCTCAGCCCTCAGCATCTCTCCCTGGTCCCAGCTGGAGTAGGATGATGTGCTAAGCTGAGATGGGCATGGACATGCCTAAGCACCAGTCCATCACATCCTTTTCCCTGCTACAAGTCCCACTGGCCAGATTTGAACCAATCCCCATTGGAGAGCACTGAAAACTGGCTGCCTTCCTTCTGCGTGGGAGGATTTGCATCCTTCCCCAGCACTGAGCGTGAGTTGGTGAGGTACAATACTAAATGAACTGGCCATTCCATCTGACAGAATTCCCAGGCTCCCCCGCTGAAGGACAGCATGTTTCTACTCACCTCGTGAACATGACATGGTAGGAGGAGATAAGCTGTGCCCGAGAGCAGAGGAATCGTGCTCCCAGACTGACACAATCCAGAGCTGTCACACACCCACCTGAAAAGCAGCAGCACTGCCTGGGGGAAGGTCTGGAAGTTATTGTTGCGGTTGATTTCTGTGGTATCATTCAGCGCAATTTTACCAAACACCTGGCAGAAAGCAGAGGTCTTTTCAGATTAGYCCTGCAAAATCCCCAAACCTCTTGCCACCTGTAGCTTTTGGCCTAACCCYGACTCTGATATTTAATGGAATCTGCTCTTATACTGAAAAAAAAGTAATTCCCATGTGTCTTTCGTATTTGTTCTTTCATCCCTGGCTTGTGCTTTATCACCAGAAAAGTGCTAATTTTGCAACAAGAGGCATCTTGTGTCAAAACAAGGTATCCTTCCTTATTCATACACTCTGAATACGTGACATAGGGCCTTGTTTTAACAGGCACTCATATGGGAGGGGAATCCAGTGAAATAAATCAGGAACAGAGATGAAAAAGYTCTTTCCTTCATTGCTTATCTGTCTTCACTGGGGGAAAAGACAGCAAAAARCCAGCAGCTGCAAAGCCTTGAGCTTCTAACTTTGTGGAATGCCTTGGATCTTCAMAAAACAATGTAAAATAATTGCCGTGGATCTGGAATTGTCCAAATGCTTGCCCTTCTATCAATACACTTGTCACCAGCAGGTATTTCAGAGGTCCTCCCAGAATGCAGCAGCATGAACATGCTGACTAGATTTGCCCAGACAAGGATGTCCTAGAGCTGCCTCCCATGCCACCAAATTCAAAAACAACTGGTTCATCCAGCCACGGCATGAAGCCTACAACCATCAGCAAAGCTTTTTAGGGGCCTGTCCTCAGGTGTGAAGTCCCCAGTGCAGCAGAGTTTCAGGCTTCTTYGAAAAAATCTTGGATAGCTGTGGTAACTTCAGGCAGTGGGACTGAGAGTTTAACAAACCTTTTGTGGCAGAAAGGTCTCTGCACAGCAGAGTCAGGACTATTCATTCCCCATCAGTAACAACATGGCAGAGATCTTAAGGGCTGAGAACTGCAATCTCTGTAGCCAAAACAAGCAGCAGGAACAGAGCAGCTCTGAGAGAACAGCTCTGAGAAGCTTCTTTTCAAGGAAATGTCACTGATAATTAGCCCCCCAAGAGAAACAAGGACGTGGAGAGAAGCACGGGGACAATGGTGGGAAGGCCTTGCCAGATGAGAGGGAGGGTTGGCACATGGCAGTTTTCCACAGGGGTTCCTCAAGGATGGATGGGCCCTCCCCTGCCTGAGCAGCCCCATGGCACAGGCAGCACTGACAGCCCCAGCTGCAGTGAGGAGGAGCAGAACAGTTCAATGCTCAGAGCCAGCTGGAGCCGAGCCCACACTGCTCATTTCAAGCAAATGGAGGTAAGGGAGCTTCCCATGCTGGAAGTGGGATCTTCCTTTCGACCACACCACTTCCCTCACATGGGAGGTACTGGCAGCAGCTGCTGGGGGTGTTTTGCATTAGGACCTGGGAGGAGCTGGAAGTGGAGCTCCCTCCCTCATGGCCTCTCCAGGCTGTGCCTCCTGRGCCATCATACGAGCGGCTTCATCCATCAGCATCAACTTGGATTTTTTCCASTTGAGCACATTAGGTAGTGAGGCTTGAATGTTGTTACGCTCCAAGTCGTGGCAATAGCTGACATAAAGTGGTAGGTCTCCTTTATATGGCAAATGCTGATATTTTCATCAGATGTGGTACACCCAGTCTTTTGTGGTAGCTGCTTAATGGRGTGAGGAATGATTTTCCTTCTTATGTGTCCCTATGTGTGAAGGAGCTCTGTGTGTCAGTTCAAGAGAGCTGCACGCAAAATATCTGAGTGCCATTTGGACAAAAAGTGGTAATAACGGGTCTGTGGGCTCTTGGCAAACAGGGAAAAYGAAAAAAAGTTGGTTTTCTTATTGGAAGACATGAGGACACAAAGYGACCTAGTAATCTAGATCAATGTAAAAGATCAATGTAGGATCTTCAGGCTGCTGAGATGATTTAAACAGAGGCTTGAATGTAAGCTAAGCACTGWACAGGTTACTCAGAAGTAGCTGACAGAAAAAGGAATAGAATTACAGAATAAAGCAGCTAGCCCTGGCAGCRCCCTGATCACTGTGGACCCCATCTGCGTGTGTGCTTGGAAGCCACTTATAATGCTTTGTACATCAGCATAACAGCAGCTTAATACTCTGAAGTGATTTTCTGCATAGCACAGGTAATTCTGTAAGMTCTGGGCCATTAGTTGGGTAGTAAAGGCAAAACTGGCAAGTTTACAGTATGAGCCTAGTAGACTAAATGACAGTTGTGATTACTGGGGCCATTAAGATAACCTGTGATAATTTCAGAAAAGATTAATTCTATTTTTCACAGTGGGGCAGGGTAGATGGAGCCTGGGAAAATGTGATTGTAATAGCAGGAAACAAATTAAAACAAGGTCAGAGGTCAGATGAATTTCATTACAGATTCTGTTGTCATTGTGAAACCAAGAAGCCTGTCATGTTTGAAGACCTCTGGAAGCAATTATGCCATGCCTTTCTATACTGTGGCCTCTGGTCCCAGATGGCTGACTTGTCTGAGAACTTTGATTAACACCAAAGTGGAAAGTGAAGCTTAGCTTGAAAAGCAGCTCGGCAAATGAGGCTGGGACTGTCACAGACTGTGCCTATATCACATTCCATCTTCAATGGTTTGTGTGCCACAGCAGTTCCTTGCACAGGTGAATGCTCAGGATGGTTCCAAGTGCATTTTGCAAATTGAATAGGATGTTGTGTTGATGCAGCTTCCTGGAGAACAGGCACAAACTCTGAGTGTTGGTACATTGGGTCTGATCCCATATTTACCTTCATGGGTGTAGATCAAAAGGTGCTCTTTAAAACTCAATGGAACTTATGCCAGTGTGAAAGAGATGCAAGAAAAAATTTGGGTTTGTTCAGTGCAGCACAGCCACCAGCCCACCACAAAACCTATTTTGAACTAACGAGCAAGGCAGAAAATCTTCCTGTGGATATTCCTTCAAGAGTGTGGAGGGCAGGCACAGTCCTTTTGCTGTTTGCATATTGTGTTCTGCCATTAAATGGGTCAATACTTTTTGCTTGTTTGCTTTTCTTCTGGAGTGTGTTGTGCTCCTGTTGGAAGTACACGGGCAGATTATGATGTTTTCCAGCCAAGRTTGGCTTCCATCTTACCTTACTGGGTGAAAACATTGCTGTGAGCCCCTACAAGCACACACTGATCTAGTTACCCTGTAAGCCAGCTCCCCAGCTCTAAGAGAAAACAGACACAGCTGAGCTCTTTGAGCATCGCTTACCTGCATCCCAATCACAGCGTAGATGAAGAACAACATCACTATTAAAAGAGCCACATAGGGGAGAGCCTAGAAATGAAAGAAAAAGAGCGCTGTGTCTCCGTTCGGTCGGTGCCCCTCGYGGCTTTGGGACGCCGGGCGCGGCTGGCCCAGCCCGGGTCTGTAATGCGGCCAGGTGGCCACTAGATGCCTCCACAGGCCCACGCTTGGTTGCGCGCCCAGCCCCAGGCTCAGCTCCGTGCCGCGGGGGATGGATGGAGCTCCGCTGCCTTTCTGCCACTCCCGCCCTCCACCGAGCCAGGAAAAACCAGKGTCTACACCTGCTTACCAGTCACAACCAGCATTACTCTGCACTAATGGCAATGTGATATTTTCGTGGATCCAGTCTGGTGAAATAAAGGATGCAACAGCTGCTGGAATACAAATTCAACACTTCTGCTAYGATAGCTGGTACCACCCCAAGTACCTCACGCAGCATCAGCATCTTCCCTGTTCAGTGTTAGGTGTCCCTGATGGCGTCTGCCATGCACTRAGTGTCTGTGATCAGCTGCTGAAGAGGAAAGGCAGAGCCCTGATATGCAGAGCTGCCTCCCAAGGAAGAGGTCAGTGCAATCAGCCAAGTGTTGAGTGCTACCAGTTTCCTCCACCACTAACAGGAATCAAGGGCTTGGGACCTCACAGGCTCAGGCTTTTGAGCAGGAATTTTTTGAAATATATAGTGCTCAAATCAGAGGTTTTCAGATCTTGCTTTCGAGGCRATGGGTGGATACATTCATCGTGAAAATTTGAGCACAGGACCTGATCTGGATTTTGAACACCCAATTTCACAGACTATAATGAGCCTACAAAATGATCAGAGGGCTGCAGCACATCTGCTGTGGAGACAGGCTGAGAGAGTTGGGCTTCTTCAGCCTGGAGAAGAGAAGGCCCCAGACTCTAGTGAACCTTCCAACACCTACAGGGAGATTAAAATAAAGCCACAGGGGGATTTTTGTCAAGGGCAGGGGGATTTTTGTCAAGGTCATACAGTGATAGGAGAAGAGATGATGGTTTTRAACTGAGAGAAGGTAGGTTTAGATTAAATATTAGGAAGAAATTATTTACTCTGTGTGTGAGTGAGACATGAACAGGTTTCCCTGGGAAACTGTGAATGCYTCATMCTTGGAAGTGTTGGATGGAKCTCTGAACAGCCTGGTCAAATGGAAAGTGTCCCTGACCATGGCAGAGTGGTTGGAACTAGGTGATCTTAAGGCCCCTTGCAACCCAAACCCTTCTTTAATCCTAAATTCAAAACAACTAAATCCTGCGGGAAAAATTGAGGAAATATTTTCACTTGCCACCTTAGAGATTTAAGATCTGCATAAATCATCTCATAGAGTTCTGAGTATTAAAATGGCAAAAAAAWTTAAATCCTTTAGACAATGACTGTAATCATCATCTTGAGGCTCARGGCAGATTCTTCTGGCTTTTTAGGGGGTCAGACAAGTCTGTATGTTTACCCCACAATGTCACTAGAAAAATCACGAGCTCCGAACTGGGCTCCAAACATTTTGGGATTATTTGGTTGGGACTTGGTACACAGAACATCTAAGAGCTCCTGGGATAGTGTCCAGACAGGAGCTGAGGTTATAACCTTAACAGCAATTCTCTTTTTGAGATGGGTATGGAAAGATGTCTTCTCTCCTGTCTGTCTGGTCCTCCACTTCATTTCCATGTTCTTCTGCTCAGCCCACCCCTCTCCATTAATGAATCTTCCTGCTCATCTCTGCTCCTTGTTCCCCATGGCTCCTTCAGCTCCCCATCTCCCATATTCTACTTTCCTGTCTCTGTCCTCCTCTGGCTCTGTTCTTCCCTGGTGTTACCACTGTGTCCTTGTGATTCCCACGGCCTTGCCGTGCCCTCAGCACCCTCTCATTTCCTATTCCTCCCACCCCCAGCCTGGCCCTGTTGCTGTCTCTGCAGACGGAAACCCCGCTGAGCATTTTCCCACCACTCTGAGCAGTGCCCCAGCTTGTACGTCAGCACTTCATGCCATGCCCAGGGCACGTGGAAGTTACCATGGGATCTCACTCCCTAAGTTCRTTGCTTATTAGGCTGCCCTGTGTGAGCAGAGCTGCTTCCTGGAAGCATGTGGGGACACTGAAGAGCCCGTGCCAAAGTCTGCTGGGATCCCACATTCTGACAGTGGGAGTGGCTGGATTAAGAGCGGCACAGTGGCTATTCTTAGCTACCAAAGGAGCCTCCCGGTAGTTGCCAGAGGAGGAGCTTGGAGCAGAGAATTCCATGTTATAAATGGCTAAAGGCTTTCAAGGGAAAAGGCACTTGCTTGCAGTGCCTTCTTTATTTTTTCCCCCGCTGCTCTGGAAGATCCCTCCCTTCATACTTTCTCCCACCACCCTACAACTCTGGCTTAACATCACTCTCCARTTGAAGAGGTCTGAAGGTCACTGGAGGGAAGTACCAGGTGCTCCCTTTCCCATCCATCTCATCATCTCCAGCCATGAGCCATGGCAAGTTCAGCTCAGGGCAAGCCTCTTGCTAAAGAGGCTGAAGGGGCACAGAGGCAAGGGGAGGAGAAGCAGGAACTGGAAAGTGTGACTCTGTTCCCTGCATCAGGRATGGCTGAGCTGTGCCAAGGGAATCTCATTCCTATGCACGCAAACAAAATGGTTCCCAGTGGTACTGCTTTAAATAATACCCTGGAAGTTCGCAACTGTTCACCCTGTGGTATGGGTGTCAAAACCTGCTGTGCAGGGTTAGATCCTCTGGCAGTCAAGTAGTGTGAAAAATATAAGCCTGRTGGTCTGGCTACTGTGACCACTGAGAGCTGCACTGGACAAAGTCCGTGCTGATCCCTGCTGTGTACGTGTGCTACTTCTGCTGACAAGAGACAGAAGTGACAATGAGCCACAGCACTGCAGGCTTTGGTTCTAGCTTGTATTGTTGCTGGTGAGGTTTAAGTTTTAAAGTGGGGTCAGTTCCTTCCCTATTTGAGTCAATGCAAAAGCTATTGACCATTTAAAGCCTCAGTCTAAGGGGTATAAATTTGCTGTTTCAAGACTTAGGTGTTGCATAAGTCCCTCTTTCACGCTTTTGTCCAGTGGTGCATTCTGCATCTTTTCTCATGCTTGGACCACCATTTGTATTCCTGTGCTGTGTTTCCCTGACACTTCCTTTGGATATGCCCCAGCTAACATCCAGGTTGTGCTGGTCCAGTAAATCCCGGTCATGTACTTTTAAAATGCAGGAATATGCTATACTTCATCTCTAACTATCATTTTACTGTATGTGGCTATGTTTTTTCAAGAAAGTAATTGTGGAGTTTATTTTCCTCCAAAGGTGATGATTGTTAGCCAATCCTTCACTTCTTCCTGTCTACTCTGGAACTTTACCTACCACTCAAATGCACCTGTCTCCAGAGAAAAAAGCAGCAGCAATTTAATAACTTGGCATTGTTAMCAGCTCAAAAGAGTAGGGCAAAAAAGGTGAGTTCTTCCTGGATGAAAGTATGGAGGCCACACACCTCTAATACTCACTGGAAATCCTCAAAACAAGGCTTAAAGGAAACTTAATTGAGACCCAGGTCTTCCTCCCATAGCTGTCTATTTTACTTAAAGATACACATATGAAATACAGCTCAAATAAAGGGGGGAACAAAAAGAGATTGAAGGGTTACACACAGGCAGTAATCGAGTTGGACTGAACTATTAAGGCTGTTCAGGAGTATCTCAGGCAATTACTCATGCTTTAAAGATGAAACTCACACCCAGRCAGTCATTCTCTGTGAGTCCCATTTAGTTGACTCATTCGTGCCTGGCACATTTGAGCTTGGGCACTGGTGTGAAACCCATCCCTGAGAGGCCACCAAGGGAAACCAAAAGGAGTTAGGGGTTYCTTGGAGATAAGTGAAGGAATACCTGGAAGGACTTGATGAAGGTCCAAAGCAGTGTCCGGATGCCCTCCCCTCGGCTCAGGAGCTTCACGAGACGCATCACGCGGAAGAGTCGGAAGAAGGTGATTGAGATGCGAGAGTTTTCCTCTGCGTTCTGGAAGCCATTGGCACAGAGGCAGGAGTTACAACAGCACGAGAGGAACGAGGGCCCTGGGCCACAGAGGAYGCTACGCCGAGAGTTCACTGCACTGTTCCTTGTCCTGCTACTGCTCCCTGGGCTTCCACTCCCCGGAGACAGGCCCAGGCTGGTTAAGCCTGCCCTGTCTCTCATCATGGTGAGGCTGCTCTACAGGAGCTCTCACTGTGCCTGGACTTTTAGGGCTTAGGGATAGTTATGCTGTAAACCCCTCCATTACATTTCCTCACACTGGAAAGAGGCAATTCCCCTTTGACCTTGCACCAGAGGAGAAAGACACTTTCCCTTTAGACCTGTCTGAAGTGTTTCACCCCAGCGAGTGCCTCAGCCAGCAGCTCTGGTGAATCTGGTGTCGGGCACCAGCCACGTGCTGCTTGCTCTGTTGGGAAACAGGAGCAGGTCCCAGGTTTGCCCCAGGGTGCTAAACACCATRAGGGCATGGTGTGTTCTGGTGTCACTAGCACTGCTGCCAGCCTGGCTGCCCCTGTGCTTCTGTGGCCATGCTCCTGGGGGCTGGGCCCTGGTCACTCGCTCCTGCTGCTGGGCCTTTTTCATTTCTCAYGACCCCTTTGTATTTCCCACAGTCTGCGCACTGACTTGTTTTTTTTTTAAAACATTTTATTTTGGCTTCGCTGCTACCGTTCAAGCGAGCACTATTTTAAAATAGTCTTTCTTCTGGCCTGTTTTTTCTCACAGCATCTGCTTTGTCCCTAAGCATTTTCCCTTGGGGTTGTAACCAGCTCTGACGTTCCTCAGCCTTCACATGTGTGAAGGCAACATCCATCTGAAGGCAGGCTCACCTGGCCTTGGCAGAGGATTYGCTGCCTAGCTCAAGGGCACAGCAAATGCCACGTTTTCCAGTTTATTAACCCTCTAAAATACTGTGCCAAGCCTGTGGAGCTGGTGCCTTCCGGTAGCAGCACTGTGGGAATGTGACCTCCTGTCACAGGGGGAGATAACACTGTCACCCTGCCACTTGACCTGCTGCGGAGCAAAGTGCATGGAAACCCCCTCTCTGTCCCCACTCAGGCTGCAAAGACTGCAGTTGGAGTCTAAACACCACTGAAAGAGCAACATTTAGGAGGAAGAAACAGTGCAGATCACCCCTGCTGTTAACTACTCACCACTGTGTAAACCAAGAGAGAACAGACCCTTTGGATTTCCTGTCACTGGGCAGTGAAAACAGCAGCTGCCTGCCTGTCTGCTTTTGATAAAACCCAAGGCACGGGAGCAGCCCGGATGGATGTTTCTGGGATTAAATGTCCAGATGCAGACGGGTACCTGTGCAGATTCCTGTTTCTGAGCCAGGATGAGCAGATCTGTGCTCTGCTCTGTCCCTACTCGGGGGCTGTAACTGTGAGCTGGGGTGTGACCCCTGCTTGCACAAAGAGCTCAGCACCATGTGCACCCAGCTGCAGTTTGTCTGTCTGTCTGTGGTGTATCTGCCACCAGGTAGCTTCCTCCARTCTGTAGCAAAGGCTGACACTTGCTGCCCATGGAGTAATTGGGTGAAAAAGGTTAGGGAAATGGGTTGTGTCAAGGAAGAGGCTGAGTGCTCCCTACATCTCACGTGATTACTTGGACATCAGGCTGTGGGCTTCAGTGAATTGGAGTGAGTTGCTCTGAGGTGAAGGAGGGAATCTGGCCTCCAAGAAATCAAAATTTATGGCATTGAATAGTCTCAGTGCTGCACTCTCAGAGGCCTAATTGTAAGGTCAAACAACTCTCCCAGACCTATAGAAGCCAAGTTCTAATACTATGTAAAAGAGAGTTGAGGTCCAAATTTAAAGGTTGTGTGGATAGCAATCCTGCTTGTGGTTGTGACCAAAAAAAATAGTGTTTTCTTATTCTACCTGCTGCTCTTCTTGTTGGCTTGACTCTTTAGGTGGCAGCAAGCTGGGACAGGGATCTGGACAGAGCTCTTAGTATTCCTTTGTCCTTCCTTGCTGAGAGGAGGCAGCTGCTGTAGGTAGAAAATTATCTCTGGCCTCCTAGCATCCTGGAGTAGGCAAAGTCTAAGCAGCAGATAAAATAGAACAAATTCCTCCCTGACACAAATCTGCATCTTACTGACAGTAGACTACATAGCCAAAAACTCAGTGATGCCTCTGCAGTTTACAGTAATTTTAAAACTAGGTGGCTGCAGATTAGGTGATGCTAGAGTAGCCCTGCTTGCTTCCTCCTGGATTTCATCCAGCTTTTTAAAGTGTATCCTTGCTAGAGGAGGGAGGTTCTATAGAGTGGCAATCCAGAGACTGGAGTTACTGCAACTCTGTTGGGGTGGGGTGGGAGCTGCCTTGCACACCAAGGCAGTGGAGTGTTTTGTGCACCATTGCACCAATGACTCTTTTTTTGTGCAAATACGAACTCAAACATTAAAGTGAATTACCTCATTGGAGAGGAGCTTCAAAGCCCCAAAGCTTTCTTTTCTGGAGGCTTGGACATGAAGTTATTCTGTGAAGTCATTCAGCATCACACTGATAGTGACATAAGGACATAGTCTGTGGCTAACAAGAAATCTTACCGGGTCCAGTTCTCTCTTGGTGTTCATTAGAAGGCAGAACGACAGTTAACTCGACCAAAGGGAAGCTCAGGATGCACAAGAGATACACATGTGCAGCATATTCACAGCTCATGTGAACACCAGACTCACACCAATACACGACATGGCAGCTTCATGCACAAATAACTAGGCTGGGCTTGGAGAGAGTACTTGTGATCACGGAGAAGAGAAAAAAGGAGTGTGTTAGAAAGAGTGTCACAGAAGCTGGGAGGGTGGTCTGTATTTTCGGTCTTACCATAGAGGAAGAGCATTGGGTATGTTCAGCTGGCTTTAAAGAAAGGCAGACAGAAATAAGCTGTAGTAAGTCTCCAATCAAGAGCCCTAGTAAACTAGGTCTTGGCTAACACAGGAGCAACAAAATGGCAGAAGAGGGCAAAAGGGAATTTGAAAGAAATGCACAAGAGGCTGGGCTTATTCCCTAGGATGCCCAGGATCAATGCTGGCCGTGGCAGAAGCAGGTACAACTGCCATTGAATTTGATGTCTCTCCACTACCACCACGTGTGAATTGCACCCAGTGTCCCCTGAATGCTGGACACCCTGGCAAACAGGCAGTGGAGGTACTGTACTGTTAATAGGTTTCTTGTATCACTACTGTAAGTTCAATACAGGGGCTGATTTAGCTCTCCAACTCAGATCCAAGCCATGTCTGCACAGGGACCAGCCAGCTTCTAGTGCATCCGATTTGTAAACCCAGAATATCCCAGTGCTAAAGCAACACTTTCTGTTTATATATCCCCATTCCCTTCCACACAGTTCTGGGTGAGACAATGGGTTGGGAGAGTCTAACTGCTCTTGGCATCCCTACAATACCCACCAGCAGCTGTGGAGAGTRGGTTGGGGCAGCTAATTAGCTTGCTCTACCTTCACCCATCTCCCAGCAAAGCCCTAGGGACCCAATGGATGTGTTCTTGGAGGCCAGGCTGAGCTGAGCTGAGCCCTGGTCATGCCTGGAAGAGTAAAATTGCTGCAAACACTTTGCCTGATATTTCTTTAYAACCTCTGGGGCCATTTCCAATACTGAGAGCAATTCTAAAGAACACCCAAGGCTGCAAGTATCCTTAGATCTAAGAAGCAGAATTGAAAATTAAATAAAACTGTCTTTATTAGGAGTCCTTCATTAGCCCTTTATCAGGAGTTCAATAGTAACGTAATCCTTCAGGCCTAACCTCTATCATAAGCCAAACCTGTCTGCTACTTTAGCAGTGGGAACTGATGTAATTCTTCTTCTGCCAGTGGYAGAATTCCCCTCTAGTGCCATGGAGGACTCCTGCAGCATTCTCCTGCTCTTCAAGGATGCTGCAGTAATCCRACTGGCACTGTATTACCTAAAGAAAAACTGTAGTTTGGATGCACAGCCTATTTGGTGATATAGGAAAATGAGAACAATTRAAAACCCAAGGTACACTGAATCATATAATAATTTGGGTTAACTCTCYGGTAGTGAGTTTGGGATTTGGTAGTGTCAGCTTTCAGTGCTTTTTTCCTCCTCTTTCATATGTTTGGTCTTGTATTTTCAGATCACATACGGGCAAAAGTTGGCTTGAATACCAAATAAAGGAGCAGTGCCCATAGAGACATTTCTTACAGGTCAGGCATAGATTTTGATTYTGTGTTGCTAGGCAAACATTTTTCCACAAAGCGTGTCTCTGTCCCATCCCCCTTCCTCTTTCTAGTTTTGCTGGTTAACAGTAGAAGGACCCTTATTCTGCATTCCTGGTAGAAGGTACCTTCAAAATAATTGAAGGAAGCCTAAAAATTTTCAGGATTCTCCATCCTTCCTGGCTGACATCATTGGTGCATCTGTGACTGACGGGCTGAAGAAGCCTGTTGAGGTTCTGTGGGATATTGTGCCTTTATTGTAATTTCTTTTCTTATTCCCTGAGTAACAGGACTGTGTTTTAAGATGTGGTCAAAAATGTATCAGATTATAAGACTACCTATGGTAGAGGTTCAAAAACAGCATGGGAAAGGTTCTGCTAAAGCTGGCAGGTGGGATTTGTATAAACTGTGGCACTGTGGGCTGAGGTTCCTGCTCTGCTTGTGCGCGGTGAGTTCATGAGGGGGGAAATCAATCCCCAGCTGTGGGTTGCTGAATACATTTTCTGATATCCACAAAGGTTTCAGAAAGGAGCCAGATCCTGCCTGTGCTAGAAAGTTCCCCATGGACCCGAGCACAGGTATCTGAAAATCCATTACTGGAACCTTCAATGTGGCCATTCCTAACTCTAAAGCTGAGAACTACTCAGATTATCCAAGAATCTAYAGCCTTGCCAATGATGTGGGAATGGCAATTTTAGGACAAGGAGAGGCAACTGGCATCTGAGAATGTGGTGGTCACATAAGTTCCCAGAGATGGAGGCATGGTGATAAGTACTTGGAATTAAAGCCAATGTCTATTGCCCATCTGAAGTGGACAGGATTTCATTTCTACAAATCTCAGAACAGTGGAAAAACAAATCCTCATCTGTTTAATGCCACTGAAAGAGCTTTTGGAGAAGCCACATCACTGAGCAGAAAGCACTCTTGGCTRTAGCATTTAATTTGCAGCCATCTCTGCTCCTGCATGGGGTTTAACCTGCAAAGGTACTTCCATCCTGSCCTTCTCTTTTGGGGCACGAGTAGAATGAACATACTGAATGAGAAAGGTCCATGGCAGGCAGATCAGTCCCAGATGATGTTCTGAGCAGTTTCCCTTGTACAGAAAAGGGATCTGAAGTATAAACCACGAGTCCAGGGCCATATTTAGAGTGATATAGAAGGGAGCCTGCAGGCTAAGAGTGGAACAAGAAATAYCTGAGGTACGGTGCCCCTGTGTAAAGGCACTCGGGGGGATGAGTGCAATGAAAGCTGTTTGGGTAAACTCTTTTTTCTTCCTTTTGATATTACTACATTTAAAAAGGCAACAGAGATGCTAAGGAGCAAAAGAGGCCAAGAAAGAGAAGAGCAGGTTCTAGAAGCAGGATAAGGAATCAATGATCCCCGAAGCATGTCTAAAAACCTCCTCAAAATATTGTTTCCTGTATACATCTCATTTATGTCCAATGTGTACCAGAACACCAGCTTTTTAAACAGATAAATTGCTTGAGCTACTGCAAACCTGTGAACATTCTTAGAACCCCAACAGGCACAAAAAAGGAGGGCAAAAATTATGCCCATCAAAAAGTCAGGAATCCCAGGTAAGAAAGATCTGGGAAAGAAGCCAGGTTTATTCAATGGAGAGATACTTAAAATCTTAGATACCACAGCACTGGATAAGGTAACTGGGAACTATTTGGAAAGAACATAACTTGTCCAGGTCCAGTYGAACATATATTAATGTCTCACATATCAAACTTGGTGTCTGATACTGCCATCAAGTCAAGGAAAAAATCCTGACAGGTTTTGATTTGGAAGCTAGGAGAGGATAAAATTTTCACTCCAGGAGAACCGGTCTCAATCTTTCAAGGGCAATATGTAACAGTCAATATTGTAGGGTTTTTATAGTRTAATGCAACCCATTCTGAATTCCGAGATGGGATGATGTGGCTTTTCAGAGCAGTAAAGATGGCAGCAAAAATATGAGCAAAAAGTTTTTGTATAGTCACAGTAGTATATCAAAGTTCCATGAAATACCCATGGCTTAGAATATCTTCTGGATAAAGATTTGGAAGAAAACAGTAAATTGCATTAATGAACAGATTCAAATGAAAGTTTAAGCAGAAAATTCCTGAGAAGAGATATTAATCCCACCTCACCCTTGTGGAACACTGGAGATGGAGGACAATGTTGGGAGGTTTGAGTTCCTTGGGGCTTTTGGCTGGTTTGCTGACAACTGTAATGGCTCTCCAGAGAAGCAACATCTGGAAATGCCTGAAAGGAAGCTTCAGTAGGTCTGTACAGGATATCCTGAATCCATATCAGCACAGTGGCTCCTYCACTGCCAGGTAACTGTTTCAGTGGCTGTTGAAGCCTGACTGCACTGAGATGACAGCACAGGCAGGCAGCATTCTCACTGCCAGAGCACTGCTGATGGTAGTAATTCTTTAACACCACAGGACACACTGAAGATGAGTTCAGCTCCCTTGGAGGGGATCCAGCCTTTGCTAGGAAGTCCAAACTGATTTTTTTCCTGATATTTGAGGAGTAAAACTTCCTTGCTGATAGTTTTTAACTTTCTAACAACACTTTCATTCAGAGGGAGGATCGCTTTTCGCGAGAGAGAATTCAACCGTTATGTTGTAGAGAGCATTTAAGCAGCTGAAAGCACAATGTTATTATTGCTTTGCTAGTTAGAGYTGTCACTCAATGCAGAGGTACAATTGCAGCCTTCCGGTTATGCCTGAGAGCTCTAGGTTAGAAGAGATGAGCAGAAATGTGTGTTTGAGGTGCTGGCACTACAATATGACAGAGTAGCTTTGTATTTCTCAAGACAACAAATGGTCAGGGGCTTATCCTGCCTTTTGTGACAAACAAGCTGTAATGGCATTTCTCCAGTAAGGAAACTGTGGCTCATGGATGGAGCTTTTAGGAGACTACTTAAACATTTGGTTGTTGGTGATGGATGTCTGCTAAGGTATTTCCTTGATTGTTGTTGAATTTGGAGAATAAAATGTTACTGTGAAGATGCTGCATCCGTTGGAAACTTGATAATTGGTCTGTCAGCCGTGTCCTRTGAGGAAGGGGTTGATTATGTTCACTTCTTGCTTTTTTCTCCTCATTGCAGGAGGGATGCCTCTGAGAATCCATACTGCAGAGCTCACCTGAGCCGGCTGAGGTGTTGTGCTGCTCCTTTGTATTTGTAGGTTATTGGTCTTTTCTAGATCAAGGTCTTTGTATACAGAGGTGTTCCTCCAAGAATCCTACTCTAGCCATGCTGCATCTGTGACCTTGGGCACAAGATGAAGGGTGGAAAGAGACATTCTGGGGAAATCAACTCGTCAAAACCATGGGTAAGCAATGGAAGAGCATTAAAAGCACAAATAAAGCAATGATAAACCACTCTGCTGTTCTGGAGGTGTTTCTTTCCCATGTGGTGGCATCAGSAACGATGCGAGTTTCAAGAAGAACAAGAATTTTACAAAGTATGGGGCAAAAAAGTGGTTTAGAATTTATCTGTGCCRTGAAGATGTAGAAAAAGAAGACACTAGACATCCTCTTGTATTTGCAGTGCCAAAAATCTGAAGTGACCTCAGGAGGCTGAGTTACACAAGTCTTTGTGGAGAGCTGGAAAAAGTCAGGGTTTCAAATCAACCTGGCTGCTGGCAGGTAATAGTCTGCCCTTACACTG